CCCCCAGGGTTGGGCCCTCAACCACCTCCCTAGGCAACCCATCCCAGGGTCTCACCACTCTCATGGGGAAGAACTTCTTCCTCATGTCCAGCCTGAATCTGCCCACTGCCAGCTTTGCCCCATTCCCTCTAGTTCTGTTGTTACTCGATATCCAGGTTGCTCAGAGCTCCATCCAGCCTGGCCTTAAAACCTTGAGGGCTGGGGCTTCCACCGCCTCCCTGGGCAACCTGTGCCAGGGTCTCACCACCTCATGGTGAAGAACTTCTTCCTCACATCTCATCTGTATCTACCGACTTCCAGCTTTGCCCCACTCTCCCTAGTCCTGTCACTCGTATGGTGGGTTTATCTTCCCACCAGAGAACAGGGGGTGGTGTGGTGGGGCTCTGCAAATGGGAACTCCTGGTGAGTCTCCCAGGTGGCTTCATCCCTGGATTTGGGGAGTCCCGTGTCTAACATCATGTACCCCCTTCATGTTTGCCAGCCCCTTGTTCGGAGATTTCATCTCAGTAGCAACCCCTGGACGCTTAGGGGGTGCGGGAGGCTGTACAAATGCAGCACCCAAGTGTTCTGTTTTCTGGGGCTGATGCAGTCTTGCACAGCACAGTGATACCGGTAAGAAACAGGCAGAAGTCCTGGCAAAGAGGAACAACCTTTTAGTTTTTAGCACTTTGGACATCAGCATCCTTTCCTGCTTGGTTATACGCAGCTGGATGTCCAGGTTTCAGTTCAGAACGAGATAATACAAGTCCTGGTTGGTTTTCCAGGGTTTCCCCCTCAGTCCCACGCTTGCCGAGGAGATTCTCGAAGCGTTACATGAATATCTTCATAGTCTGTAGTCCTCAGGGTTAACTGAATGTTCCCTTGCCAGGACCCTAATTGCTGACAGGACCTGGGATCGATGATCTGTTTCTGACAGTGGTTAATTAAATCCTCTGAGGATCACAGGTAAATCAGTGTGTTCATTGCTAATAGGTTTCTAGGAGCACCAGTCCCATCTACCTGCCCCACAGTTTACAGAAAAGCAGTCCCAGCTGGCTTGTGGGTTGAGGGGAGCTGGTTTTCTAGATTTTTTCCTAGAAATCATCTTAGTAACACTGTAATGTAAATATATCAGGAAACAGGGGTGTTCCTGCACGTTGTACCAATCTGCCATTGCTATACATCCGTTTCCTTTGCACATCCAAACAGTTTCTCGTTTATTGCCATGTTTTTGTCTTTTGGATTCCTCTGCATTGTTTGCATTAATCCTTCTGTTACATATTGCATGTTGGATTTCTGACTGACAGCTGAAAGATAAACACATTCATTACTGATTTTGTAAAGGGGAGGGGGGCACCTGCATGGCTTCACTATTTTGTATTTAAAAATGTTTGAAAAAGAAGGAAAATTTTGGCAATATTTTGACAATAAGGATGAGCCACTTTTTCTTTTAATGCAGTTTAGGTGCTGAAATAACCCAAATTGAAAGACATAGGCAAAGTTCCCTCAGTTTTGCCACGTGGGCTTATTCACCTGCTGAAAGTAGCCTTTATTTAAACAAAAGTCCACGTGTGGAGCAGGAATAGTCCAGCTGAGGAGGGTGACAGACCTTCCTCAGTCTGTAGTCACTGGCTGAGGACCAGACTGATGAAACATTGATGATTTGTCAGTAGAGAAATCAGGTAAGAGTCGTTCAGGACAGTTTAACAATAGTATGTTGGTGCATACCATGTACATTGTTTTTAATAGTGTTTCAGTAGGTTATATTTAGAAACTAGATGAACCCATTGTGATTATCCAGTCTAACCAAACAAATAAAAAGCAATGATTTTCATTTTGTGTGGTTCTGCATCACTTTTGCTGAAGCTATAGAATCTGTGGTGGACCTCTAGGTATGAGAGGTTTGGGCTTAGAATATTCAGGTTTCAAATGTGCAGTTTGCAAATCTCTCTGTGTAGTAAGATTGACTGCAAGCTGTTTTGGCTGTGGTCAGTAGCAATGGTCTAACAGGAATTAGTTTGTGTTGTTTAAAGCTTCTTACCATATCCATTCTTCTCGTGGCCTGGACTGTCTTCATTAGATTTGGATTTATAACTCTCCAGTGTCTGCTCTGAAACATCATTTTCTGTGTGGAAAACAAATGTAGTTAAGATGATGAGATTTTTCCACGATTCTTCCTCATCCTAGGCCTGGAGCATAAAAATCCTGGGAGACTAGTTATAAAATGGGGGTTCAATCATCCTGACCATCTAAGAGAGATGCTTGAGACAATGTTTTCATTGGCTTTTGTGACACCTCGTGTTAATGAACGGGTGGCCCAAGGCCACCAGTTACAGAGACTTCAATAATTTGCAACTAGTCACAGTCATTGTCTGTGGGAGAAGGACATTTAATTGGTGGCCAGAGGAGCTCTGTCTTTTCTCCACTTAACAGGCTCCTCAGCTCTCCAGCCCCTCTGAATAAGGCAGTGTCAGCAATCACCTACCTCTTTTCCACACTCCATGAGCTTTCTTCAGCTTCCTCAAAAAAAGCAGGACAATGATGAGCAGCACAAAAATCAGAGCAGCCACCAGGAATGGCAGCAAGAGATTATTCTCCTTCTTTTTGATACCTTCAGATTTCAGATCTTGGTCTGTAAAAGAGGCAGGTGTATGTGTTGTTAAATAGCTTCCTGTGAGTCTCTGGTAATTAAGGCAAGAATAATATATCCTGGACTAGGCCAGATGAACATCACAGGAGCACAGAATTCACCTAATTGCACTTAATTTTAAGAAGTGAGGTCAATTTTTTTCTTCTTGTATGAACAAGAAAGACTGATCAAAACCAGTGGACTTGTGCTCTGGCACAAGAAGCAGTAAAACTAACATTTTCCTAGATTATAGTAATGGTTGTGCTTGTGTGGTCTCTCCCCAAAATTGCAAGCCAGCATTACTGAGAAAAGATTTGGAGGTGGATACGTAGTTGGAGAGAGCCAGCTTGGTGTAAGAAGCTGGTTGCATGCTTGGAAGCTGTCATTAAAGACTTCATACCAAAGGTGATGATGGAAATCACAGTCACATTTTCCCTTGGGGCTTCTGTCCTGGAAAGTTCCTCTTCTGTCACATTGCCACCGAATGCTGCTTCAGTCCCTGGAAGAATGGAAAGGAGAATGGTATTTCTTTAAGGGGAAAGGACAAACGGCTGCCTAAGAAATGCATATTTCCCCCTGGAGCTTTGATGTCCAGGGCACTGGTACTGCAGCAGAAAGGGGCTTCTGGAGCCCTTGACTTAAAGCTTTGTGCTCATTTGCTTAATGCTGTATTTCGTTTTAATGTGAAGAACATTTAAGCTTTATGAAGAGAAGATCCTCAGTCTCTTATACATAACTCAGTAGTTCCTGTTTTTAGCCAAATTGAAGCAAAGCTGTGCTTTCTCTCTTTGGTCATTTGGGGGCTTTCCCTGTCCATCAGTTTGCTTGTCTTTCTTGCAAAACCAGCAATGAGCACATATCCTTTGACTTAAGCAGTTATTTGTTGGTATTCATATCCCTGACCACTCTTCTACTGTCTTCATCACAGTAGAAGACCCAATAGTCTTCATCATGTCTGATGATGCCAGGTCGTACCGTTGGGGACACCATCACTTGATGAACCACCCAGCTCTTCCTTTCCTTCTGCAGCTGCTGTTACTTCAGACCCTGTGCAAAGAGAAGGGAGCTCTGACTTTCTTACACACAGACAAATAAATCCTTCTATGATCAACTTGGATTTGTAGAACTAAAATGGTAATGTGTGCAGTGTCTGCCAAAACTTTAAATTAATAAGAGATTTTCTTATTGGGTATATAAACACACCTAGTGAAAGTCCTGGTAAAACTTTCAGGCTCCCTCTCCAGGCGTGTTTATCCACATAAGCCTGAATTGTTTATTGAAATGTAACCATTCTGTGACATTTGTAATCACTGATGTAGCAAAATGATGCAAAAGGTCTTTTCCAATGTAAACAAGGCTGTGATTTTGTATATTTCTAAGACAGCCAATTGATTTTTTTACTGCAGGACTTGCGCCCACCTTAGTGGACTTTGGCCAACTGATTTTGGCAGCGGAGCTCTTAATTCTTCGGCTGGAAACAATTCCTCAGTTCAATAGCTGCAACCCGCCGCCTGCTCTGCGCCCAGGTAACTGTGGTTTCACAGTGCCACCTAGTGCGACCGTCCAGAGGAATCCCAGCCTGGGCTCCCACTGTGCCCAGCAGTGGCCGCTGCTGCTAGTGCTGATGTTGTTCTGCATCTAACGAGGAGTTTGTCTGCGTTCATGGCTGTAAAACTGAGAGTTCCCCTCATAAGGGAGAAATTCAGTGTTTTGTGTCGCCTGCTTGCTTGTAACGTGGAATGGAATGCTAAATTCATCTAACTAAGACCAAACTTACAAGTAGATGTGATGTCTGGTTGGAGGTTTTGCTGGGTTGGTGTTGATGCTGAGCTGATAACTACTGGATCCTCTGGGACTGCTGAAGGGATGGTTGGCTGTTTGGATCCTAAAGGAAACACCCCCAAAACCACAAGAAAAAAAATCATAAAACACACTTTGCTATTGAACTGGACCTTGAAAAACAAGACCTACCCTGTATGCCCCATGCTCCAGACTGGTCAGGTAATCAGTGGTCAAACTTACAGTCCTACCCTCCCACTTTCTGTTCCCCTGTCCTCTGAGTATATTTATTGCTTTGAGATGAAGAAAAAAATGAAAGTGAAAGCTTACCAGTGTGCTGTGGGAAGCCTGGAGAGGAGGCCACGCTGCTGCTGAGATCTGACACTGGTGTGGTCACTGGGGAAAAAAAGAAAGCAGTTCTGAAGGCTTCAAAATGTCCCTCAGTGCTGATGGCAAGTGGTGGCAGATGCTGCATTTATCTGGCCTGTGCATTAATTCAAAAGAGGCCAAGCAGTTAATGCCTACCTGTAGATTGCTCCTTCTTGGAGACATGTGTATTCACCTCCAGCTCTGCTGGTACAGGATTTGGTTTTGTCACTGAAAAAACCCAAACCAGTACAACTTTCAGAACACTTTATAGGCATTTGTTCAATCGAGCAATCTAAGGAAGAATCAAGGAAGATTCATTAGATCCACCCTAAAGATGAGTAAATAGGTGGAAGACAAACTCTGCTCTGAAAATTATTTCATAAGCAGCATCAGTGTTAAATTACAGTATTTACATCCTGCTGGCCTTCCAGGTGGATGTGTCTGATATGTGGAAGACATCAGGACACAGCTTTTTGAGAACATAAATTCTGAATGATCTTTAAAAGTTTTAGGCCAAACATCACCTGAATTCTAGCAGCAGCACTGGGGAACTGACCTGTCTTGGCTGCTGTGGCTTAATGTTTAATGAATTTTAAGGTAGTTAAAAAGCAGGGAAAAGCCCCAAAATCTTAGTTTGATGTTCTTATTTTGTGCCAGCGAGCCCTGTAATTTAAAAATGGGCCATGGGACATGGGAGAGTAGACCATGGGCTCCAGCTTTGCACATGTATCTGCCTAACTTTCACCACTTCAGAGTGGTAAAATGGCCAGCCTTTCTTGAAGGGGCCTGCAGTACCTGTCCTAGGGAGGTCCTCAAACCGGAGAGATGCCCTCAGCTTCTCCTCCCCCAGCGCTCGGTGGCGAACGATGCAGCTGGCTGTGGAACGGGGCCCGTGGGCAAGGACTGTCAGCAGGCTGGCACTGCTCCACTTCTTCCCATCAGCCTCCAGCTTGTGCCTAGTGTCACCTACACATCCGGGAGAAAACATTTGAATGCATTCTAGTCCAGAGCAGTCTAACCAAACCCTTCCAGGCACGAGCTGTGCTACTTCGCTGTGCTAAGGCAGCACCTGATCACTGTGCAGTGGTGTAAATGGATTCCACGGCAGCCCCGAGGCAGCAAGGTCATGTTTGCCTCCTTGGCAGCTGCCTAAGTGCAGACCTCACTGCACCTCCCCTGCTCAGCCCAGAGCCTCTGCTTGCTGTGGTAACTGAGGTGGGGAAGTTCCCCTGCAGTGCCACGCACCACCGCGGTGGGATGTCCGGACACCAGCAGCACTTCTGGTCCTGACTTGGCAGCTGCCTAAGTGCAGACCTCACTGCACCTCCCCTGCTCAGCCCAGAGCCTCTGCTTGCTTTGGTAACTGAGGTGGGGAAACCCCCCTGCAGTGCCACGCATGACCGTGGTGGGATGTCCGGACACCCAGCAGCACTTTTGGTCCTGACTGAATGGAATAAGCTGCATTGCTGTGTGCTGCTGCCATACACTGCCTGGGGTGGGGAGACTGGGCAAGGAGCTGCTGTTTTGCAGCACAAACGTGTTCTAGAAAAGCTCTGCTCTCTGATATCCAAGAACACTGAATTTATTTACTAGCTGTGGATTTGTTATCCCAAACCTAAAAAGAAGTTGTGAAATATTTGTGCACGTTGATAAATTTGCACAAGAAATATTGATGTGCAATGTTTGCCTTTGTAATAAATAAGCACTGATGGACTCCATGAAATCCTGTGCAAGTCCTTCATCATCCCTAAAGTGCACTTTTGACTATTGCCCCTTTGTAGCTGGGGAGGTTAAAGGCAAAGGTTAATTGTCTTGCTGTAATGAATTAGAGAGTTCCATGTAACGTGTCTGATGTAGCTCCTGAGTGCTCTAGGTAATACTGACGTCTACTCACATACAATGTGGAAAAATAAAGATGTATTTCATGTGACACAATGAGGCATGTTCAAATAGCTCAGGTGGAGAGGGAGTTTTTTTCAGATTTTTACCTTAAATGCCCATGGTGGCACAAGAATTCCCACTGTGTTTATAATGTAGAAGTTCTCTGGAAAAAAACCTGATGCTTTCTCTTGACCTTTGGTAACAACCTTATTTCTTAAATGCAAGAAATTCCTTGTTTCCAAATTAATCTTTACAGACAAGTTGCTGTGTCACATAGACCAATATTTCTCAACCCTCTTTTCCATCTCCAGCAGGGACATGTAAGAGCTCAAAAGGACTTCAAAGTGTTTTTGCTGGGAAGGAAATACTCAGTGAGCAACAGCTCAGAAATTACAGCTGGTTTGCCCGTGCTGAGCCTTGCTAGAACTGAGGTGCTGCCAGTAATTAACATTTATTAGCTATTTTGTGATTAGGATAAATATTTGCAGGACGTGATCCAAGCTGAGAAGCACTGCAGAAAGAGGGTCATCTTCAAAAAGAGGCAAGGCACAGTGTTTGAGAAACAGTGGGCTGGGACAGTGAATTTCCCCTTTCAAACACTTTTCCTGCCTGTCAGCCACAAGTGGGCTGTGTGATGAAATCAGCACATTTCCACCCAACTCAGCCCAGCTGAGCCTCCTGGGTGAGGCAGCACAGGTCCTGGGGGGACCTTTTTGAGGGGTTTTGGGGGAGATGTTTAGAGTCTGAGCTGTGGGTTGTGATTCCAGCTATGCTGCTTCCCCAAGTGCAATTCCTTTAAGCACAGGGCCTTAGGTGGCTGCATTAGTACCTGTGTGTCTGGCAGCCTGGAATATTTTCTTGAATTTTGATTTCTAGCTGTGTTCAGACCAACACTCCCCTCTGTTGTTTTCTAGGGCTCTTGGTTAAAAAAAGCCATCTTGGGAGCTGTGGTAAGATTGCAGGCTAAGCTCTGAATATATTGCTAGATGATGCAAAATACAAATGAGTGTTTGTTAATGCATGAAAGAAAATACATTTGCATCTATGGGTATTTTCCTCACACTTTGACACAGATGTACGTTTCCTCTCCACCGTGCTGGAGTTACAGCTAATAAGGTGGTTATTATTAGAACGTGGCCTTCAAAGCAGCTATTTATATAGTACACAGGTTAAATTGAGCTATATAATGGCTCTGTTCCTCCCTCACGTGTGGCAACCCAGGAGTGTGCAGACCTCTGACTAAGTGAAGCATCACAGGGTGGTGTGGGCTGTGTTTCCTGAGCTCTCTCCTTGCATCTGCTGGTGAGCTGCCTGGCTCTGACCGGATGGATGAGAGGGAAAGGCTGATGGGGTGTGTGTGAGCTGCTCAGCAAAGCTCAGGAAAATCTGTCTACTACTTGTAACATGGAAAGTTATAATAGAGGGGTTAAATGACTTTATACTAGGGCTTTGAAAATTGTGCCTACAGAGTTTTAGTTTATGTTTTCAGTGGAGTTTCACTTGATTCTCAAGGGATTTTGGTGTGAAATGGTGTTCTGCACAGCACGGGAGCAAAGCAGATGAGCCCCCCCCCTTACACAACCCCTGGAATGCAGTGCTGACTTGACTCCGGCTCTGCACCACGAGGGCCAGGCTGTGCTGGATGAGTGGTGGTCAGAGCTGATGTGTGGCAGAAGGGGTTTCACACTTGAGTATTTTTAAATGTGCCCAAGGCTGCTAAGAAGAAATTGTCAGTAACCTACCCCTGGTCCTGGAACACTTACCAGCGAGCTCTATCCCATTGTCCAGCAGCCAGGTAATCTGGGGCTGTGGTTTACAGCCTCGGGTGTAGCAAGACAGCCTAATGTTTCTTTCTGTGTCTTGGGATACTTCCAGGACTGGATTAGAAGGAGCAGCTGCAGCAGTAAGATGTAGAATCAGTTTTAGTACGTCTTGGTTTTGTGCATACATAGCATTATTTGGGGGGACTGAGCTAAGGCTGGGATCGTATTCTAGTAAGCACCATATAGTTGCATGCAAAATGCATGTCTGAAGTGGAGGAGCTGGCTCTGTTGTTGTGCTTCTCTGGAACAAAGCAGGTGAAGGAACTTACCTAACACCTCAACAGTCTTGTTCTTGCTCCTGAAGGGGATGCCATAATAGAGGCATTTATATACTCCTTCATCGTGCACGGTTACGTTAGACAGCTGGATGGAGAATTCATCCCTTGAATAATGGATAAGTTTGTATCTCTGATCTCGTAAAGCTGTAAGGAAAAGAAAACCCAGCATGCTGTGTGTGGGGGTACATCAGAGGAAGACAAAATCAAAACAATAATGAATGAGGATTTATTTTTTTATGTGTTCTACAGTATTAGAGTGATTTCAGTTCCTTAAGCAATCTAGATGAATAAATATGAGCAAACATTGAGGTGTGAGGACATGATATATGGTCAGAAAAGTAATATGGCTTTTGAATACAGAGCATAGGGGCAGGAGCTGAAGACCTGAAATGCTGGGGTCTGAGCCCTGAATTAAGGTTGCCATATGGGTGATTCCCACAGCCCTTCCTACAGAGGTGGTGAGTTTGCCTTAGAGCTTCCCCCAGGGTGCTGCAGGGAGAGCCAGAAGGGAAATGAGCCCCAGGGGTCCTGCATTGAGTTAACAAAGGTCAGGTGTGTGCTGGGGGATAAAAGCTGGGACCACTGGAGAGTGCACTCCCCAGAGCTTCCTGGTTCAGGGCAGATCTCCTGACTCTCCTGGAGCTGGGCCCCAGGCTGCTCAAGGCCTTTGTGAACACGGGTGGATGGGGTGAGTCACTATGTGGGCACCTTTCTCTTATGTATTTAACTTGCTGCTCTGGCTGTTTCCCATGCCAGCTGTGGGCAGCCTCGGGTCTCTGTTTGTACCACCTGTTGTGGGCAGAGTTATGTCCTTTGTGGGATCATTGGGGGTGGTGTCAATTATGTCCCAGCTGATTGATCTGTTTGTACCCCCAGTGATCATTCATGGAATGTCCTTCTTGTCTACAATACAGTCTGTGTATTGGTTCATGTTCCTGCTGGTGGGGGTATCGCTTTTGTTGGGCCTGGTCATTGGCAGAACAGTACTCTGCTGTGCAGTCTCTGTTCTTTCTCCTGAGTCTCTGTTTCATTTCTCCTGCTGGATGGCCCTGTGGGAGTCCTTGGGGTCAGGCCAGCGAGTCACATGGACTTTTCCCATAACTGCAGCACAGAAAGTGAAACTTTCTGCCCTTAAATTGAACTGAAACTGGGGATATGTACCAGTCATTAGGGAGAAAAAGACCTTAAAACCTGTCTGTTTGGGTTTTTTTTTTTTGTTTAGCTGAAGTGTTGTAAAAATTCAGAGCTGGGAGAAAATCACAACAGTACTATAATTTATGGAAGTGGTTAGATATTAAAGGATTTTGAAATCACCATGATACTAGGCTTGTAGCTAGCTTCTTGTATTTTTGGCTACAGGGAGACAGGAGGGAACTGATTCATGAAGTGGTTTATGGGAGAAGCAATGTGACAGATCCACAGTGGTGATTCAGAATAGAAAATGAAAATGTCAGTGAGCAGTGTGAAGTGTTTCTCTCTAAATGAGAACTGCTTTGTATTGCAAAAGGAAAATACTCGGTGTCTGACTTAGGAAGGATCCCAATGCTTTGCAAACTCTAGTCCTTGTGGGTGTTGAATTGTGTGTCTTACTGAAGGATAATTGTGGGATGCTGAAACTATGGGCTGAGTCCTCAGGTGGTTTAAGACAGATACTTTTGTTGACTCAGGTTAGAGTCTGCTCCTACAGGTAGCAGTAGGTATGTGCTTTCCCTGACCTTCAGTTGCTGCATCAACTCAGCAAAACTTTAAGCATCAGAAGGGCTAGAGTCATATAAAGATGGAGACATTTAAAACTGAATATGGGCAGAATGAAGTGTCTCAGTCCAAAACTGCTTGCATAGGAAGGTTGTGGCTTTAGCCAGGGCCATGGAGAACTTGCATAAATGAAGGCAGTCCTGCTGCTCTCTCCTGCCTCTGTGCTGTCACATACTGAGAAAATACATGTGTGCCAAAAATACAGGTAACTGCTGGAGAGGTGATTTCCTCCTAGGTGTTGCAGTTCTGGGTGCATGGTCGGGCTCATAGAAACATTAATAGGTTGGGATTCTCAGAACAACCAAAGTGGACCATGGGTGCTTTCCAAGGGATTTGAGAACCCAATATCATTTGGATAAATCCCAGTCATTATTATCATTAAGGCCTAAAGGCTTTAGTAAGCAGGGATACTGACTAGGTACTGTATGAATGGGGAAGACCAAGGCAGTCCTCATCTTGCAGAGCTATTGAATTTAGACCATCAGAAGGAGAGATAAGGACAGAGAGATGTGAGGAGTAGGGAGAGAAATAATTGTGACTTTGGCTTTGCCAGCACATCTTCGAAATCACTGCTTGTTTTCTAAAAGTTCCCTCTTGATGCACTACATCAAATTCCCCAGTAAGTAAAAGAGTATCCAGGGCTTTCAGGCATATCTACTGCTGTCTCTCTTGTCAGGCAAGAGTGGGGTTTTGTGCTGATGCCTTGGTGCTGGTGGTAACTACAGCTCATAACTAAAAGCTGAAGTGCCAGACCACTCTTGTGGGGCTTTCCATTTCATCAGCTTCCTGCCAGAAAGGGGCTGGAGGTTAAACCGTGGTGAGCGCTGGGCTAGCAGGTGAGTCAGAGTGCCTGTGGGTGGGAGCCAGGAAAGTCCACTTCTGAGTGAGCCTCCAGCCCCCCGTGGGGAGTGCTGAGTTCAGGTTTCACACTTACCTCGCTCTAAGTTGAGGTAGATGGCAAAGCCCTGGGGGTTGAACCACTGCCGGGCAGAACCATCACTGCTGCTCAGGGCACAGCGAAGGTTCAGGTCCTCTCCTTCCCTTAGAGTTATGGTCTCACTGCCAGCTCCTGCAACATCTGCCATGGACGACAAGGGGAAAAAATAAGGATTAAAATGTGACCTGAAGTAGTGAGGGTGCTTCACACAGGGTAATATGTCAGCTTTGCTTTTTATCAAGGGTGTAAAGGATTTTCTACAATAGTAAACTTGCCAATATAATTGTGCTGATGTAAACAAATCACAGTAATTAGGTCATCAGTAGGGTGAGATTTGTGCCAAAGTTTTATCTTCAGCTACTAGATTGAGTTATTAATGTTATTCCACGGGTCCATGAAGAACTGATACAGACCCTTTTAATGCACGTTCTCCCTGTATGTTAACACAAACATTAATTTTGGTTATTCCATGTTCCATTCTGGAGCTGTTGAACCTGATTTGCAAGTGTTTGCAACTAAGCAGTGGATGGCACCTCTGAAAAATGAGGCCTTTTTATTCAGAGGTGATAATACTGCAGCTGCTTTGAGCTGGATTGAAATGTCTTTCGAAGACACTATCCACAAACCTGGCATGGCACAGGTTACTGAAATGAAATTTCATTCTTTCTCCTCCTAGTTCATTTTACAGATGGGCAGTAAAGTGTGTTTTGCTCTCCAGACATGCTAAGATATATAATACACTTTGAGGAAATATTTGATGACCTGACCTGGAATGAATTGCCTTCTCCAGAAAAAAGCATGCCCTGGAGAAAGTTGCTAAAAGCAGAGCCTGGGTCAGAGTTAAGTAAATAGGCAGTAAGAGGGTTCTATTTTTCATTACTGTTTTATGTGTTTTGATTTTATTTTCCAAGGTAGCTGTCTGCTTCAAGTTCCTACTTGAAATGCATCTTTCTGGGCTTCAGGAAAGCTTTTTGGTTTCTTAAAACCAGTTGAAAATATGCTGGAAATGAAGCTATCATAGGGCATTTGTGCTGGACCTGATCTTTTACCATTAAAACCACAGGGAGGTCTTGTCTCACGGTAGTAGTTTCACATGGGGATCTGTTGCCATGTCTCAGAGCACACCTGATGTTTCCTGGGCAGAGGTGGCACAGGAAAGGTCATGAGGACAGAGAGACATGAGGTGTGGGGAGTGCCAGGGAGGGCAGTAATTGTAACAGGCTCAGTGCTGTGGTTGGTGGTGCAGCTTGGGACCTCATTTGCAGAAGAGTGGTAGGAAAGCAAGTCCTCCTTGCACAGGTTCCATTATGAAGACCTGTGTCATGAGGTGCATGTGGTGGAGACACTGAGAGGGCCTCGTCTGTGGTTTCCATGGGGCCCTTTGCATTTTTTCATAATGATGGTTTCCTGCTGCTAGCAGCACTGTGGGATCTTTCAGATCACACCTCTTGAGGTGAGAGCAGCAGACTGAAGAACAAGAAGGTGGGGGTGCTTTTCTCAAACAGAAAAGCAGCCCTTGGAACAGAGCATGTAGATTTTCCATTAAAGACCATTGCTTTATTCAGACTATGACTCAAGGGTTGAATTTTTCTTTGTATAGGGAGCAGTTTGACATGGCTGGAGTTGTTGAGCCACTGTAGCCCACTGTAGTGCAGCCACTGGGGTGAGGGAGGTGCTCCTGTGCCAGCTCCAGAGGACAGTGGTTCTCAGACTGTGTGGGTGCCATGTATTCTGGCTACCTGAGAAAACAGTCTGGCATCAAGTACAGCAATATATTCACCTTCTTGGCAAGCAAGGGCAACAATTTCCTGCTAGATAACTGCAGGATGCAGCAAAGCAGAATGATTCCTGCCTCTGGTTGCCATTATTTTAAGTCGTCAGAAAGTGCAGAGATAAAGTCTTGTAGTGATATGTACTCAATACATCATTTCAGAGATATCATAACAGATGTAGCTTATGGAGACATCCTGTTCAATGATTTCTTTTTGACCTCTGCCTGCAGACCTTCAAGTGGGACTCTGAGTTAATTCTGGTGGCCAAGAGCAGCTAGTGGTTGTCAGCAGGTCCAAATTCCTCCTGCAGGAGTCTGTGGCTGTACTGGGGGATGAGGGGCTGTGCACTGGAACTGTGAGAGCTGCTGATCTGGAGCAAGGCTAAAGGGCACTGCAAGTGCTCATCCAGCTAGAGTACAACTGACAGCTCCTGAAGGCCTGGCTTCTCTTTAACACAATGGTAATGAGATATCCAAAGCATATGGTATTGCAGAATGCTCTGTTGCTGCTTAGACACTGGGATTTGATGTGGCCTCTGTCTATGACAGTACTAGCCAAGTGTCAGCAATAGCACTGCTGTAGTTTCTGCTCCAGCATGCCTTAAGGGGGGAGAGGACCTGTTGCTTCAGCCAGCACCAGGCTTACATGTGCATTTCTCCTGCAATAATCCTGAGCTGTAGATAGCTGTGTTCCTGCTTGCCTTAGGTAAATCTTTCCCTGTTTGACACAGTATAGTATCAATCTCTCACACTCTGCTGCGTGTGAAAGCCAGATTAGCAAAGTAGGTGCAAGCTACATCCTCTAGTAAGAGTAAAGAGATTTAAAGTGCTTTTCATTTGAAAAGTATTTTGCAAGTGCTTTCCAAATTCCTCCAACTTGTTACATTAGCCTCTTTTTTTACATTAATATCTGAACAAACCCATACACAGATATCCAAGCCATGGAAAGCAAGCAGGGATCTGCTGTCCAGATTTAAGGGAGAATCTTTCCATTTCCAAACACTTTGCCTTGCCAAGCGTGCTGCCAGCTGCTGGGGAGTGCCTGGCACTCGTTGATGCTGAGTTTGGGAGGCAGCTGGAGTTCAGCACCATCGTGCTTAGCAGATAGGGTGATAACACAGCACTGCCAACAAGAGAAGAGCAGCAAAGCTGCCCCGTGGGTGGTGTGCAGGAGCTCTGGGAGCAGAGTCCTCCACGCCGCCCTGCTTGCGAGGGGGAGATTGCAGAAGCCAACATGTGCTGCTTACCTTGTGTGAGGAGCAGGGCCACGAGGTGCAGGAGAGCCATGGTGGGTGTGGGCACACACGGTCCCTGCTGGCTTCCTCTCTGCCCTGCCTGCTCTGCTGCAGGTCCCTTTTCAGCCCCGCGGGAGCAGGCTTGCCATGACTTCATCACTGCCAGGGGCTCTGCCTCCTTTCCATCAGTGCTGTCCCACTCCTTTCTCCCCACACCTCATGTTTCCTATGCCTTGGTCACTGCTGACAAAGCTGTGACTTCACAAGTGCCAAAAATGAAACTGGTGGGTGGTGGGACTGGGGCTGCTTCACCCTCCACCCCCTCCAGCTCTGTCTTGGCCAATGTCTGTGTGTGGGAGATGTACACAGGGAGGGGGGAAGCAGGTCAAGGTGAAGAGAAACATGGGCCTGGGGTGACCCTGTGAGTGATCCTACCAGTGCATTGGGTGAGGATTTCCCAAGAGGAGGAGACACCCAGGAAGGCAGAGCTTGCTTTGTGGGCACTGCTGCAGTGCAGGAATTAGGAAGGCTGCTTGAAAACTCAGCTGTGTGGTTCAAATGCCTGGAAAAACAGTCTTGCATCATGAATTGCTGTGTGCACAGGAGGTTTGCTCTGCTCTGCTTCCAGGGATCCTGGCAAACCAAATAACAAGAGAAAGGTGATTTGCTGTGTGTGGTTTGTGGCTTTCTGGGGAATGAGGGTTATTGGTAAAGTGGTTGTGAAAGGTTCACTGAGCACCCAAGCCTGGGGCAGAGGGCTGAGTACATCAAGGAGGTAACAGAGGACTGGTGGCAGAACCTGAGTTTCCCATGTTCTGTTCCAGGTCTGATTATTTCAGGAGCCATCTGGGACATGGCAAAGCTGTTTGTGTTTCCTGGGTGTGTGATGTCCAGTAACATCACAAGATTTATCTCAGCCTGTTGTAGGCAGAGCCTCTTTTCACGATGTAGCCACATGTGCTGATTTCCAGAAGGGCTTTGCCAAATCCTCTTCTGGCACTTCTCTGAAGCTGTCCAACATTTAGTGTGAATGACTAATGCTGTCAAAATGAGCTGACTTGTGTAAGAAATATGGCTTAAAAACTGTGTGCATTTGCAGGACATGTGTAATTCATCATTTTGTCCAGTTCACTCAAACACATCTAATTTCTTAGAACTTGTTTCTATTACACTTTCAGGTGCAGGGAAAGTGTGTCATTCTATTGGTGTGTATTTAATTGATAAAAGCTGTGACTTTTTTGTTAATTGTAAGCAAGTTTTACTAGAAAACAGAGCTGTAAGACAAAGTTTAATGTAGGCAAGCAAAAAGTCTCACTGTCTGCTAAAATTACTTCTAGATTACAAACTCTAGATCAAGAAAGAAAATGTGTTAGAAAGTTATGCATCGTTTTGGTTTAAAAGTTATGCTTCCAGCTCCACACATCTAAACCTGACAGTAAAATAGCCCTGGGGGAAAAAAAGCCAGCAAGCAGTAGAGATGCTGAAGCCCTGAACAGAACACCAGACTTGAGATGATTTTGTGCCATCTGCTGTCAAATAAATGAACTTCAGCTTCAGTGGAGGGAAGAACAGTGGAGTTCAAATTCCCCTTTCTCCTTGATGCTTCTGAGGCATTAAGTCTAATGCACTTAAGAAGAAAATGTCAATAGGAAGGGCAAGGTGTAGGGTGTGTGGCATATTTATTAAATCTATGAGACCCTTTTGTCCAACTTCAGAGAGATCCATTTAATGTCATAAGCAAATTAAAAAGCAGTGGTTGTTTCAACAGTTGTTAGCACTTGAAACTGTGATTAAAAACAACCAACCAACCCCCCCAAAATAAAAAAATACAGATGTCACAGGTAATTACAGCTATTTTTGGCAATACAATTATTGTTTTTTTTTTTTTTAAACAGCAAACATTTTTCTCAAATAAATACTATCTGGTCACGCTAAAAAAACATAATAAACAGAATGATACAACAGGTTTAAAATGAAAAAAGTATCTATTGGTAACATCAAGTTTTAAGAGATGTCCACAGAGAGAAAATACATTTTAATGGGAAGTAACAGAGAGGAACTGGCTGTGTATCTTCTGTTATGTAGCATGTATGGTTCATGAGTATTCCCCAGAGAACAAGTATTTGAGGAAGTGTGGAGAAGTAGCAATTTAGAGTGTATGCAATCACACTTACTGCTGAATTTTTTTGTTGTTGTTATTCATTCATTCACCATTTCAAGCATGTCTGCTAACACAGTCATTTCATGTGTATTTTTAAAGTTCAAATCATTTCCTCTACACTTAGGTTCTTTTTTAAAACCCAAACAAACCAAACCACAAACCAAATCTGTTAAGGCTTCCTTTTTAAACAATACACTTTTTTATATGGAATTTCAATGCACTTTAACTTGTGAAGCATCAGAAATTAATTTCCAGATGTGGGTTTAACACTTAGGTTCTTTTTTAAAACCCAAACAAACCAAACCACAAACCAAATCTGTTAAGGCTTCCTTTCTAAATAATACTTTTTTTATATGGAATTTCAAAGCACTTTAACTTGTGAAGCATCAGAACTTAATTTCCAGATCTGGGTTTAAATGAGGGTTAGTCAACTACAGCCTAACTCAGCTATCTAGTGTCCCTCCTTTTGAAAGGAATGTAAAGATAATCAGGCAATAAATCTCACCCTAGTTCTGAATGTGGTTTTTTTAAATCGTGTTGGGCAGGGCTCTGCCCTGTACAGGTAGGAGTCCTCCAAATTCTTCAGTAAGTCAGTGGCAGGTGAGGGGGAGCATCCTTTTGTAGGACCAGGGTTTGCCCGGCTGCAGCCCAAGCCTGAGTGGATTGTGAGAAATCTTCCTCTTGGTTTCCCTGGGCTCTGGGTCAGGCCTTTGTAAGGACCTGTGGGACCCAGAGGGAGCAGTTTACAACTCCTCTTACCCAGTGCAGCACACAGGAGCCAACCAGAGAGGCTGAGGTTGTGTCAGTGCTGTACACAACCCTGTCCTTGGACTTGTTCTGCCAAGCACACAAAGATGCCAGTACCCCCTTCCTTGAGATGTTGCTCCCTGGGTGGGGGCTCAGGGCTGCAGAGAGTCATACCCTGGGAAACAGCACTCTAGCATCCCTTCTACCCTCCTTGTTTTGCAGAATTACCCCTGGTGTTGCTTACACTAAAGATAATTCCTGTAGAATTCTTCTAAACAACCACTGGTTTGGTGATAGAAATTATCACTTTGATAATAACATTGACACTGGAAGCTAACACCAGAGGGAGGAGGAGGTGGCTCTTACCATCAGCTGACTTCTTTCTGAAATGGTTCAGGCTGACTGAAAATGGAAACATGGGTTTGTTTTGGTGTTTTGTGTTATTTATATATTTTTTTCTGAAGTTATGGCACGGATACTCAGTTTGCATAACCAGCAAAGCTCTGTTGATTGGAGTGCACAGTGTCAATTTACACTCACAGGGAACTGGCTTGGTACTGGGAGGATTTAAGCACTTGGCTGTAGCTGCACTGCACTAAATGTAAGGGAAATTCATTAAACTTTAGTCCTTTAATGCACCTGTATTGAACTGGAAAGGCGTCCCCAGGCAGGGCTCCAGCTCTGGGGCTGGGGCATACAGCAGCCCCCTCCCACCCACTTCATCCAAGAGAGATACAAAATCCAGTGATCAGGACAAACTCTTGACCAAATCTGAACTTTTTCAAGTAGCCTGGTTTTGGTGTCCTGGTGCTGAATATTGTCCTGTCAGCTGCTGCTGTGCTAGAATTTGATTCTGCACTTGGATTCCTGTATTTTTCTGGCCCTGCCCTTATGTTGGAGTTTATTAAAATATTGGATGAACAACTTATTCTTGGCAGATTTCCAGCTTTATTCATTAATTGGGAAGAGAGGGGGAAAGTCTAGGAACTATTTGCCTCCTATACCCTAATTAAACTGTTGGGACTTGATGCAGCTCACAGTGAAGACAAGGAAAAAACTTGCACACACCTTTAGACAGATCGAGTCTAATGTTCTTCTGGGACAAAACACTGAGGTGATGTCAAATACACATTAGTGAGCAGCAATGGAGTGAAAAATGAAGCAGCAATTGGTTTGTATGCTTAACATCTCAATTAAAAATGTAAAAGGAGCATCTCTTTTTTTCCAATAAGCCTTATCAACATGAGACTACTGAACACAAAACCCCTATGAGAAATCAAAAGGCTAGAAGAAAATAAAATTTTTCTGAGATTGACACCTGAAAAATCTTGAGATAAGACTACAATTGCCAAAATACTTTCCCAAACATCCAAAAATATACTTTTTTTTTTTTTAAAGAAGAGTATTTTAACATCTACCTTCTCCAACAGAACACTTTTCTATATGACTTACTATATGCAAAGATCAGCTAGTACAATATTCAGATTGTGCATTCAGGTTTTGTTCCCTCTGTTTCATGCTTCTGTCTAAAACTCCTTAAAATGTTGCTTAACTACTGTAGGACCTGAGCAGCCTCCACTGTGTTGTGTAGTCACTATTTGTTGCTTCAAATGACATCTTGTTGGCCCCCAGCATGAAACAAAAAGCAGCCCCCAGAACGATGCATGCATCAGTAACACAATGAGTTCTGGTGTGATTGTCATCTTGTTTTAAACTCGTTGCAAATTTGCAGTAAGCATGGAGGAAAACAAGCCAGAAATGCTCTTCAGAATGTTTGTACACAGCCAAAAATAGTTTAAATTAGTTAAAAACGAAAGTGACAGCAGTGTAACTGCATGAGAGCAGTTTGCTGTCATCTCCTAAGTTACCTCCCTGACTTTTCAGTATACATCCCTGGTATAATAATGCACTTATGAATGGCCTGCTGTGTATTACATAGCCAGAAATGTACAAATAACAGCCCGTGGAGCGTGGTGATGTACAGATTGCACAGGATGAGCTGTCTGCTGACTCAAAATGTGCTCAGGATCTGGTGTATCCTCCCTAGCAAGCTCAATTAAAACCCGGAGACAAAGCTGAGCTAAACCCCCTGAAGATGTTACATCACAAGAGCTGAGTGTTTTGCCTCATTTAGGGAGAAGGGATTGCAGTTTATCACTCCTCGTTTGTTCAGATTGCTGAAAGAACAGCTCAGTGTGTGTTACTGAAGGGGAGACCAGTCCTGCGGAAGGCTTGGGAGGTTAAAAGAAACCAACACAAGCCAAACTTCCATCTTGCTCTGAATAATAAGTCTTTGTCAGAGTTGGCCAGTACAAACTCCTGTGCCACACAAACATTTAACATGAGGACACTAACAATCTGCAGAGGAAAATCTGGACAGAGGAGAGGTACCTAAAGAGGCCAGAATTCACTTCTGAGCTTGTCTTTCATGCTATTTAAGGGAAGACTCAGACTTAAGACCCAAACGAAGAAAGGAGTATGCTTAAATCTCTTTCATCCCCTTTAAGCATATTTTTAAGTACCTTCAGAAAATGAGCCTACACTGAGAAGACCCCTACAAATGTCTGCAGGGACTTTTTGACCCGAGGTTGCTGACTTAATGTAATATTAATGTAAAGGAAACCTGCTCTGAAGCCAGTTTATACTATGAACTACCCACTGTTGTGTATTTTGCATTCTCCTGGGAAGCAGCTGCTGTTGGTGTCTTGAAGGCTGATGTACTAAGAGAACCCTTCTGTTGGTTTCAAAGGTTTTAGCCACAGGTGGAAAGCCTTCTCTTTCTTTTCCCCAAATCCTAACCCTTAACCCACCAGATAAATAACATCTTAATAGGCCCAAGCATGTTGCTCCTAAGTGTCAGTGTACTGTTTTTTTTCAGCTCTGCTTTGTCTGTCTGCCAGATGGCACTTAGGAACTAAGGAAAAGGAAGGAAAGCATGTTCAATTTCAGTGTCTTTTTGATTTCATCATTATGTCCTGAGAAAGCTGCTCAGTAGCAGTAGCAGAATCTCACAGGGATGACAGAAAAGCTCACAAGGGACAGAAAGCCACCACTGTGTCAATGACCAGCATAAAATTTTAGTATAAAAGGGAAAACCCTTTTCAAGGTCTTCTGAAGGCAATTTAAATCACAGTAACAGTTTAGGCTGGGTCTGTGCACATGGGTGGATTTCAATTATGTAAATAAGACACCCTCCCTCCCCCCAACTTTCCAAATCCTTCAGGGTTTGGTTGGAAGAGGCTTATTTCACCTCCACTTAAAAGAAACTGCTCCCAGAACTGCTTTGTTCAGAGTGGTGCTCTCTCTTGTTGTGCAAACTTCATCTGGAACTGATGTGGAATTCAGAATTTTCTTGCATGACTCTGTCCTTGTATTGGTGGTGTGCCCAAAGCAACACCTAACACAGTGCTCGAAGAGAGGAGAGGAATCATTTGGTGCTGCCTGCAGAGGCAATGCTGGACTTGCCTTTCCAGCTGGTGGTGATACTGGGAATTTGGGGGCTGTGAGTGAGGTGGGTGTCATGTGGTCCTGAACGAGCCTGCTAATGCTTTTTGAAAAGAGTAGTGAAAAGAAACCCCACCCCAGAATCCCAAATACTCGACTTTTACACAGTGCTGTTTGTTTCTAACGTGGTGCAGAAGGCAGTGAAAGTTACTGGTGGTGCCAGAGCTCCATTCAGGGGCAGAAAATCCACCCCAGCTACTGACTGGAGACTCTCTGCAGTGCAAGACCTCCAATCTGTATTTTCATATGTTTTTCTCTCAAACCTCACCTCCCTTTGTGTTTGCCTAGTTGTGTATGAGAATTTTTGCATGAGTGTGGCTGTGTGAGACAGGCTAGAACAGTTTGAGTGATCCACTGGACATGTTCTGACTATTTCCACTGTCAATAAACACAAGAAAGAGACATTCTCCAACGCTTAGAAAGGCCATGGGTTTTCCTTGCTCGTGTAGCTTTGTCTATTCTTGTAGTAAGGTTTCTCTCCAGTTAAAGCCTCCAGTTGGTCCGTGTGTGAGAGGGAGGATGGGGGGATCTGTAAGCTGCCAAACACCCGTGTCTCCCAGTTCTTCGCATGAACAAAACCCCAAGTATGGAATCTGTGTGAAGAGAGATGGAGATAAAAGCAATGAGCAGGGATTGAGCAAGGAGGGAGCTCCCCTAATGTCTCAGGCCTTGCTGTTGCTACTGAAGCATTTCTCTGTCTTCTCTCTCCCTCTCCCCAAAGCCCATTTTCAGATGGCTGTAGGCCTCAGGTGTGACAGGCTTTGTGCACCACTGGGCAAACACTGGGAAAGACAGATTATACCGTTGTAATGTAGGTTAAATATGGGCCATTTCAAACCAGAGATGTCTTGTTGGCTGACACAGTCCCAAACCCTGCAGGCCAGCAGAGCTGCAGAGGAGGAATATGGATGGCTCAGGCACCCTCAGATCATGTATGAGCTACAAATATCCCAGAGAGTGTTTGCAAGGCTGGCAGTGGACAATGCTACCCCCTTAGCTAGGGCCAGAGTAAAGCAATGAAGGCAGAAGATCTTGTTAATTTTTGGGTTGATTCCCTGGCCATTAGAAGCTCTGTACAGTGAAATGAGAAGGGGAAGTGTTGCAGAGAAATGAGGAGGGGAAGAGCCTTGTTAACTTGAGCTGTGTGTTTTGGGCACTGGAGGGCACTGTGGGAATCTCTGTACAGCTCCTGTCTCCAGCAGTGCAAAGCAGAGTGGGTGCAGGGCTGTTTGCAGGTGGGTGTCTGACCCCATGCCATCTATTCCAGAAGTGCCATGCTAGGATAAGCCCTGCAACCAGTCTGCTTCACTCTCCTGACTCCTGAAGTGATGAAACTCAGTGATGGGCAGAAGGACTGGAGAAGGGGAACAAAATGTCCTCTGCCTGGTTAAGCAGCTCACAGATTTCTTTTTGTAAAGCCAGTGAGCTTTACTCCTGGCTGGTGATTACCTTTCGGACCATCTGTACAAAGTCCTTGGAGTTCTGTGGGGAGAGCCCCTGGAGCTGGCAGGTACAAGCCTCCAGGGAGGACGCGTGTGCCACGAGCAGGATGTTATTTCCTGAAAGAAATGGAGAAACACAGGCTGAGGAGGGAGATGGAGCCAGCTTTAGGGACTGCTGCGTGGGATCAAGCAGACCATTTCAAATGTTCAAAATGGGTTCAGTTTGTTACATGACAGCACATGAAACTGTGTGTTATATTGGGGAGGAAAAGCATGGTTTAGTAATAGAGCATTTATCCATTTTCAGGATGATGGTTCAGTGCTACTTAGTTTTGAAATGGTTTCCTGAAGAAAACAAGAATTCCAGTGAGATTCAGCTGTCTTGTGAAGCAAATGCTTTTCTCCTAACCAAAAATTAATTCTGATTAAAAGAAGCACTTTAATTTCAGTTGCTGGTTTTCCACAGTGATAGGTTTAGATTGGCTGTAAAGGATCTTGGGAATGGCAATGCTGTGCTGTGCTCGTTAGGTCTATGCCCAAACTATCAAAATGAAAGTTCAGAATGCAGAGGCAGAACAGTGAAGTGAAATCAGTGAAATCACCAGAACTTAAAACCATCCTATTCCTATATTGTGAATGAAAAATAAAAGCTAAAGACTTCTTAAGATTTCAATATTGTGATTGGAAAACTGTTCTACAGTCTTTATGGGTAATTGACTTCAGAAGGGTAGCTCAGATAGAGAATATAAGACGACCCATCTGATGCTGGTAAGACAGCAGAGTGCAAATGACTTGTGTATTCTCTGCAGAAACAGAGTATTTTAGGCATCCCTACCCAATGCAAGCTATTTAAGTTTATGGACCTTTCTCATAAGCTGAGCGTGTCTGAGCTCATAGTTCTGACACATACAGGAACTTCCAGTGTCTCTGGGAGTGGTGAGGAGAAATTCAGGTGTGAGGGTTCATCTCCTTGAAGAGGGGAAAGGCTGGTCAGGAACATGGGTGCTCCCATCCCAGAGAGCATGTTTAGGTTTTCACTCCCTCTGTGGCACTTACCTTTGCCTTTACATTCACTGATGATTTCCTTTGTTACTTGGTAGCTTCTACTTATGTATGAATCATAAGATTCGGAAACCACTAACTTGCTGACAGGAATATGAGGTCTGTGAGCAGAAAAACAAGTATGGTAAATTGGAAGAAGCAACAGTTTTTAAGTGTAAGTTATGGTTAATCTGAAAATACCTCTTTCTTTAACTCTTCTAATTCCTCAAATCCCCAGAACCACATCTTGTATGAGGACCACTATGACAATTTTAAACTTCAAGACCAAGGTGTTTACCATTCCTGCATTAAGATATCTCTGTTAGCTGGGAAAAATGACTGTTTCCTCTAATGTGGACTGGTCAGCAGAGGCAGCCCAGGGTATGCTGAGGATACCTGTCATACCCTTGCAGTGGCATGCAGGAATAACGATGCCACTTGGTGTTTATTTAGGCATTTTTACCATTTTACCACAGCTTCCAGCTTAGAGAGGGGCTGACAACACCTGTGTGTGTCTGAGCAGGTACACTGGGAAACACAGAGCTTGCAGAAGGCTGCTGCTGGCTCTCCTCCCTGCTCCTGCTTTGATGGTGAAGGGCAGAGGCAAACTGCTGCTCTGGCCATCTGTAAAGCTGCATTGCTGGGAGATGCCTGGAATTAGTTGGCTTCCTCCTGGGCCAGGGCATTTCAGTGAATTGCCTGGCAGGACTCTGGCCAATTGTATGAGCTGGAGGAGGCTGCAAGGGGTGTAGGAAGCAGGAGGCTGTATTTTCATCCTGTGGTGCAAGGAAAAAAACCCAACTTTGCTCTCCATGCAGTGATCTGATGTACCTACAGGAGCTACCCTTGTGAGAGGAAACAGAGGACTGTCTCCCATCTCCCCCACCTAACCAGCTGACCACACAAGTGCAGGCTCTTTTTTTGAGCAAAGACTATTTGCTGTAGACTTCCCAGAAGGCATGTGTTTTCTGAAGCCCAGACTCTCCTGTGGGCCAGCTGCTCTGCTGGGCGTTAGCCACGTGATACCCTTGCAGGGATAAATACAGTGTAAGGACTTTTATTTAGGTGCCCTCAGAGTGCTGAAATTTTAGCTGCAGACCAAAAGGATGCAACACAAGTAATTTATGGTATAATTAGGTATGAAAAACATTTTTTTTCCCTTATGTTTTCTTGTGTTTCTTTTAAATGTTTCAGCTGCTTATTCCCTTTGAGGGTTCTTAAACACACAGTGCACTGGGACACTGGGAAACACCCGTGTTTCTGATGAGACTGTAAACCACAAAAGCCCAGCCACAAAATATTTGTTACCAAGCCCATGTAGGTGGAATTCCTGAGTATCTTTATGATATGAGTATTATAGATGTTTTGGTTTTATCTGAGATGGCTCAGATGGCAATCAGGCTCACACTAAGACAGAAAGAGTAAGTCTCTGCAAGAAGTCATAATGATACAGATAGTTCATCAGTGAGGTCGGTGGAGAACTGGAACTGTGTGACCTTTGTGGAGTTTCCTTCTTTGTATGAGCTTTTGGAGTCTGGCTTGTATAAATGAATCATAAATTTGAAAGTAGGAAGCCCGAACAGATCATCTTGTCTGCTCTTTACCACATGACTATTTCTGCTGGGTTTTATTTAGCCTTGCTCTCTGCAGCTTACAGTAAAAAGCATTTGTGTGTTGGGCTGGAGGGCATCACAGCTGTGATACTTCACAGGGGAGTCAGAAAGCCTTGAGTTTCCCACCAGACTCAGGCTGCTCCACACAGGCAGTGATGCTGGGTATGCAGAGGCTGTGTGGCCAGAGAGAAGGAAAGCAGCAGAGGCTGGCAGCAAGGGTGTGAGTCTGGGCTGTGGAGCCTAACCAGGCACCAGGGCTGGGCTGTGTAGCTGCAGGGCTGGCTGGCAAAAATGCCAAGCTCTGTCAAGGTCAGCTCTGTGCTCCTGGAGCAGCTCTGTCAGAGCCCTTGAAAGCTGAATCAATTATTTCTGCATTTCATTTTTCTGCCAAGTGAGAGGAAAAATCAGTGGTGCTTACCCATTTGCCATTCAAATGTTTTTTAACCAGATGTCTACTTTGTTTTCAACGGCTTTTTGGTTGAATACCATGAAAAACTGAGTCAGAAACCTGCAATTTTTTCCACTAAAAACTTTTCAGATGTAATTGCTGAGAAGTGATAAATGCTAAGGGTTTAGGTCTTTGATAGAGAACTTCTGAATTTTGATGTCATGCAAGACCCTGACTTCCTGACAGATGCAAAATGTTCCCCAAGGTGATGCAAAATTTACAGTTAGGATCCCTCACCATGCTAATCATAACAGAGGGGCAGACAAGCTTTTTCCTCTGGGGAAGAGAAGGGCAGGAGTGAACGAGCCTATGATCTGGTTCAGTGTATGAGCATGATGGTCAGGGAACTGAGTCAGCAAAGCTAGTTCTGTTAGCTGAGCTCCAACTCCTAAATTTTATCAAAAGGTTTAAAACAAACAAAAAGACCCTGAGGGTTTCCTGGATACCTGACAGATGGACAGGACAGAAGGAGTACTGGAAAGAGGACCTCCATGGTCATCAATACAGCTGGACTTTGCCAGTCAGCTGGGAAATCTGGGTTATAATAAGCCATTCCCTGTTCAATACAGCAGCCTTGAGCCTGCTCCAAGCTTATTCTGGGAGCCTCAGCAGCTCTTCCAGTCACTGCCTAAATTGAAAACCTCCACAGTGTTACTCTTCAAAACCAAAGCCAAAAAGCAATGCAAGACCCTCTCACCCCCTTTTCTGCTACCTGTAGGTTGTATCAACGCTTAGAGTAGCTGCAGCTAAATCCACAGGGGGTATCCAGGCAGGCAGTGTGCTCCCAGACACCCACTTGGTCCATTCAAACAGTCCTGGCTCTATTCGGATTTTCAGGTTGTTCTCCTGTTGCATACCTGGAGAAGGGAGGAAGGAGACCAGCTATCAGTGAAAGCAGCTGGGGAGGAAGGCAGCAAGACTTTGCAGCTCTAATACTTCAATTTGATAATATAGATTATTTTCCTCTCCAAGTAGTCTCTTGATTCATGGCAGGTATGAAAGATGAAGTCTTTACTATATGTACTTGGCATACACCAGGAAATGTAAAGCTCTGGCTAGCAGCTATTTGCAATACTGACCCTAGGCATGACTGTATTTTGGAGCTGTTTTTTGACCCTTTCCAATGCCAGGGCATCTCATGTCTTACTGTTTCCCTTCCCAGTTTTTGCAGTAGGTTATTCTTACTAGGGCTATCACGGTTCTTGGTGGTAGCCACTGCTGTGGGAGCACACAGCAAGGAGTAGCTGCAGGCAAGGGCACAGGGCATGCTGAGCTGGACTTGTCCACCCCTCCTGAATGCACATCTGGCTTCTGCAGGGGTGCAATAAACCCAGCCCTGACTGGCCCCTGGTGTCAGGGTCAGCATGCCACTTGCCTAAACACTTGTCCCACTGTACAGTTAGAAATGGGCTCCTTACAGTGTTGTTCTAATATAAAATATACTCCTATGGAAATAATCCTCACCCTGAGGATTATCTTGAATAACCATTTACTTGGGTCTCCCATGCCAGGCTCCCTTTTATCTGGCTGGCAGTGGTTTTTCCCAGGAGAATGTACCCTTTCTTGCTCATTGGGTTCTTACCTTTCAAGATATTGTGTGCTGTCTGCACACACCGTAGGGATGGGGAGCTGTAGATGTAGTCCACAATGGTATTAGTTTCTAGCAAGGCTTCACCTGTAAGCAAGTTTCAACACCCATGAATAGAACAGGACCAAAGGCACTGCAGCAGCAAGAGCAGCACGCAGGGCATCTGCCAGCTAGCAAGGAGCTAAGCTTCCTGGCTGCACTGCTTGTGTTTTGGGACATAGGTGTGCCCACTGGGCTTTGATTCAGTGGTGTGCTGTGATGTGCAGAGCTGTGGAACTGGGATATGTTTTTCTGTGTGCTGCTCCACGTGCATCTGGGTACTTAGCCAGTATAAGAAGAAACCACAGCAGGTTTTCCTCAATTTCTGCTTTCTCCTAGATTTAGCCAAAAAGCAAACAGCACGCTGAGAAAAATCATAGAGAGCTTGAATTTGATTTGATTTCATTTATAAGCTGTAAATCAGAACGATTCAACTTAACTCAAACTTGAATGAATTCAACTGGCTCGATTCTTGGCTAGTATAAACTACCATGTCATTACACAGGGGGAAGATCACTGAAAATGAGATAAGAATCAACTTCACTACTAGGGTTATTCATATTCTTCCAATGCCTAAGGGGAACCAAATGGGAACAGGAATCTGCTTGGCATTGCACAGACTTGTAGTATGAAATATTCTCATTGTATCTGAAGAGGCAGGACAAAGCAGTGGGAGCAGGTAGGGGCTGGTAACTTTGACTTCCTACATTTAATGATGGCTGTAACCATGTCAGACCAATCTATACATCTCTTGAGAGAAGAAGGGTAATTTAGGAGGAGCAGCACAGCCAACAGCCCTCCATCATGGGGAAGCTGCTCATTTGCTGTGGTTGTTGGAGTCCCAGCCTGTGCTCCCAGATTTGCCTTCTGTTGTGTGTGCTGTGAACCCTGATGCCATGTGGCTGGGAGGCTGAGCATCCTGCTCTTGCACACTCATTTATTTTTGTTTAAAAAGCAAGTATAATTTTAGCTGCCCTAGTTTGGATGTGACCAAGGCAAAGTACTCTAAAGGATTTGAATTTGAGAAAATGTCAAGTACCCCTCTCTGAAGCTCAAGTCTTTAAGGGGCTGGGCTCCTCTATTCACAATGCTCAGTATGTGCTCTTTGGCTACTGAATAATTTTCTGGCTACAGACAAACCAACAGGCTCAGAAGTCAGGGACAAGGGTGGAAGAACACTGGAAATCATTTGGACTGTTTTTTGCCACACAAAACCAGACAGGCTGATAAAAGTGCTTTGGAATAGCAAGCTGAAGGTCAAAATTTAACCTTGTCCAAGTCAGGCAAAAAGTGTCACACTGCTGCATGTCCCACCAACACTGGTAATAACAGCATCTTCCATCGTGGCACGTTTTTATGGTGGCATCTAATGCTCTCCAAATGTGCTGCTGCTGGCTCTGATTTTGTACCATGTCCTAGATTGTGTGCTTTGCCTTCTCAGCTGCAGCAGCTGAAGGAGACAAGGTTTCATCTGACAGAGAGGGCTTGCTGGGCAAGGTGAAGGGACTCTGCAAAAGTTCTGGTAATGGCTAAATCCCATTAGCTCAGGGCACCAGATTCACCTTTTTTTCTGCCTTGCACTTTCTCTTTCTCTGGCTGGGTGTGTGGGAGGCAGACAGCAAAGCTCCCTGGGCAAGCTCCTGTCTGCTGAGGAGAACTTACCGACGAGCCTGGCCTGGGTGCAGCCCAGCACGGTGATGGGCGCGTCCTTCTCGTAGTCCCTGAAGCCTCCACTCCTCTGAGGTAAGCTGTGGGGCATGTTCAGGTTGCTGCGCACATACCTCCCTGTGGAGGAGAGGTCAGAAGCAGTTGCTGGGATTAGTTGGTCAGAGAGGGGCTAAGAGCATCCCTCCTGCTTCTACCCTTTTTCACCACAACGCCTGCACCTGGCAGGCAATGCCTGGACCTGGCTCTGGAGCAGTTTTTCCTGTGAAAAACGATCAGGAATAGCATCTGTGCTTGTTGAAAATCAGCAGAGAACGTTGCTAATGGTTTTGAAGTTATCTTTAGGACACATTTCCCCGAAGGAAAGTAATTTCTATGCCACAACAAAGGAAACCTCAAATGTTACGCTGGTACAGGAGGCTAAAATGTCAAACCTCTTCAGACTTAATTTAGAAAGAAGGCAATTGTGAAATCATCCTTCTTTTTCCCTATGATTTTGACTAAGATGTTGGCATTTTTTGAGTAGAAAGAAAAGGTTTTGACAAAATTCCCATCAGCTCTAGTGCCACCAGAGCCTGAAGTTAGTCTGTTAACTATAGTCTGAAACTCATGCAGGTTACTGGGTTGCAAACTCCAGCTTATGCCCCAGAAGAGATTCTGAACTGTACCTGCAGGGGGGTTATTTTCATTTAGGACTGGCAGCCAGCTGTGCAGGAGATTTTCCTGATGGTAGATGTTTGCACTGGACACTGACTACTGACATCATTACTTCATTTCCAAAGGAAAATGCTTTTTGGCCATGTTACTCTAATCTTTCCTGTAATAGTTTTCTAAGTATTAGCAAGTGTAGTACTTAGTCCTTGGCTTATGTTTCTGCTTCTGACTGCAGCTCTGCCATCACAGAGCTCTGCACTGAGGTGATCTGCCACTGGTAACTGCTCAAAGCAACACTTCAGACTAGGAAACCACAGCTTCCATCTAAGCTTTGCCCCAGGCAGTTGCCACTCTCCTCCCTTCAGTTACCCCAGAGCTTGAGAGACCCAGGGGAGCTGACTTACCTTTGGCATCAAAACACTGTGACAACCAGTACTTCCCAAAAACCACATCCATCCTTTCCCCGTGTCTGCAGACAAACAGGCAGCGCTTCTGAGGCCCTGGCTGGCTGCTTATCCTCAGGGGCTGGAAGAAAAATGACAGGATGTTTGACCTTCATCAAAGTGCAAGGGTTTTCCTGAGACCTGATTTACTAGCTGGGCTCAGGACCAGGCACCTCTTGCTTTATCCTAGTGCAAATGTGGCTCCAGGAAACTCTTCTGAAGTTAGTCAATTTATGCTGCTATTTATGAAGAAGATCTGAAGAACAGGTTTGGGGACAGCAGTGTCTCCTGTGCCTGCAGTTAATTGTGCCATTCCAAAGCTTGTAGTGAACTTGAACTTGTAACTTTGGGTCCAGGCAGGGCAAGGAGACCAGAGGATAAGCTGGGGGAAACCCAGCTGCTGGAAACTTGCTGCTGGAAGTGTGTGTGATGTATCACACGTGTGGGTCCCTACCTGCACGTTCTGGCAGATGATAGTGAGAGGTCCTGTGTCTCCAGGTCCTTGGTCTTCCTGCTGTCTTCTTTCCAGAGCGCCATCAGTGAAGCCTTGAAGGGACGGGGAAGATGTAGTATTCAGAATTGAGTAGGACCTGCCAAAACCAGAAAGATGCTTGCTTTGGGAATGCTTTGGACTTGGTGTGCTCAGGCTGCAGTAAGGACACTTCTGTAGCATTCAGGAACGGATGATAATTACTGTTGTCATATGATGACATTATCATTTGTATTTTAGTGCTGCCTAGAGAGCACCTTGCCAGGTTATGTACACACACAAGGAGACAAATGCCATCTCAACAGGCTTTGTTTCCCTAGAAACACTTGCACAAAGCATCAGTTCCCAAACTTTGGTCTGCAAGGCTCTGTCAGCCCTCAGATATTCTCATTCCCCACAGCCACAGGATGCTCACTAACTTCATCTGGGGAGCAGCTGCACAGTACTTGGCACGGTCTTGTGTACCAAGGTCTGGAAAGTAATAGCTACAGGAGTCTTCACTCACCTCTGCACCATAATCTATTGCTTCAGTAGAAAGCTGGGGCACAGCCCTGCCCCTCATGCTGGGGAGTTTCAGGGTTCCTGGGCACAAAATAGCTTGTATCCCCTCGTAGGCACGTGGCACATTCAGTCTGGGTTCTCTCTAAATTTTTCAGTGCTGTCTATTCCATTTCCCATCTAGGAATAATTCCCAGTAGGAATTTATTTTCACTAGCACTTCCTGTTGAGTGCAGCCAAAGGGATATAACAAATATCACTGTCCCTCAAGAGGCCCCTCAAGGGGCTTAGCTAATGGGGTTCCCTCTGAATAAAACTCTTGTGTCTAGATACTCAAGTACCCTGACCAAGACTCTAAGAAGTGCAGTCTGACAGCCCATTACAGAAGCTGCAGTGACCCTCTGCTGACTCAGTTACGTTGTCTGGGTTATGTTTGCTTTGTCATTAAAGAAAATGCTGTCAGATAATGTGTATGGTCATTTACTTTGACAGGCATAGTTGCTGTTGCTTGTGGTTTTCAGTGCCTTAAGTATGTCAGAAGCTGCTTCCTGACTCTTACCTAGTTAGGATAAAATCCCAGAGGGAATTCATAGCTGTTAAAATAACACCAATGGAACAAAAAGAGGTCATCTGCATTTCTGTAAAGAACAGATATTTTGCAGCATCATATGATCTGCACCAGTTGAAAGAAAAAAAAAAATACCACTCTGTTGGTCCTGATGTTGATCCCTTATCTGGTGGAATTAGGGTGCAAGGATGGGGCTGAGGGAGTTCCCCACAAGGGCTGGGCTTGCTGCAAGGAACTGTTCCTCTCATTGCCCAAATGCAGGTAAAGCTTCAGAGGCCAGGGCAGCAAAAGGTCTGAGTGAGGCATGGTATGACTCCACAGTGCAGCAGGGGTGTGGATCTTGAAAAGGTGTTAAATGGAGGCAGGAGAGCTTTTTGGATAAGCCAAGGGAAATAATATTACCAGGTGCTGGGATGAGAAATCATTTTTAACTCCTCCTCAGAATATACACATGTGATGTACTGCAGGCAAAAGTACACCTGGACCATGCTTCAGCTGACAGGACAAGGCCAACTCTGACCCAAAAGCTCCCCAAGTGCACTAGTGTGTGCCAAGCCCTGGGTGGGTAAGGCCTGAGCAGGCAGCACAAACAGACAGACATCACTGCAATAAGTGGTCAGCTTGGAGTGTGTAGGTAGCTAGCACAGATACATCCTCTCTGACCCAAAAACTGACTATCTCAATATAAGAAGAGTCTGAATTCTTAGCTGGGACCATCTCTGTTGCCTGCAATAAGTGGTCAGCTTGGAGTGTGCGTGTAGCTAGCACAGATAAATCCATACTGACCCAAAAATTTACTATCTCAATATAAGAAGAATCTGAATTCTTAGCTAGGACCATCTCTGTTGATGTACAAAGTGGATCTTGAGCCTCAGTATTCTATTTTTACTTCTGTATTGCACCTTCCAGCCCCTCATCCAATCTCAGCCCTTTCCTGCTTTGCCTATATGACATTGATGAAGACACTGGCCTGGAGAATACCAAGGTTTTGTTTGGTGACCTCTCTTCCCTTTACCCCCAGGAGCTGCTGCAGAATTTCTGAGACTTCTCTCTAAGTCCTTATCAAGAGGCCATGAATGCTTTACTATTTATAGGTGCAAGGATTCACTGTGAATGGTGATGAGGCAGAGGCTTGCTGCAGCTGGAGGAGAGCCACCAGCCTGCCTTCAGCACTATCTCCTTGATGTTGCTGGAAAACAGAAACTGCTGAAGCTATTTCAGCTTAGTCATCTCCTAAGCATAGGTCATTGTTTGGGAGCTTTTCCCAAAGGCTTGTGGCTCCTTGCCTTGGCAAACAGGGACTGAAGGCAGACAACAACATCTCCAATCTTCTGGGTGATGCCTTGCCTCCCCTGCTCTGTCAGTGCTATGCTGTGTCCCTGGAGGCCACGTCCTCCCAGCCAGGAAAGGTCCCTTGAAGAACAGAGATGCTGCAGCAGAGGATTGGGAAAGGGTCTCTGTCGTGGCACAACAATGCTGGTCCTCAGCTCTGTGTAGGAAGATTCCTCTGCCCCATCACTCATCTTTATGTAGAGAGATCCCTGGGGAAAATGGACCAGCCATTGCTGTGGAATGGGAGGAAGACAGAGTGGGGAAAAAAAAACCTACAGAGACCCAAATATAGCTTAAAAAATTAGGGTTGTTTTTTCTCCCCTTGGTATTTGTGCCAAGTCTTATTTCTCAGGCTTATTAAAGGGGCAAGGAATAGCTTTGGCATCTCACTAGGAGCTGAAATAAGCTGCTGTGTGATATCTACAGTGTTTCTATCCATTTTGGGGCAGAGGAGGTGACTATTTCAGGCTTTGCTGGTAATGGAAAAGCAACGCAAGGAACAATCAGAAGTTTGAGCACAGATACAAAGATATCCTTGTTACTTCTGCCATGTGCCTTTATGTACATATGAGGAGAGCCTCATGGTCTTGAGTGCTTTGGTTTTGTGCTTTCTGTGGGGCAAGTCAAGTCTCATACCTCCACTGGACTTCCCACTTCCTCTGGGCTCTGTGTGTTGAGGGTAGAAAGTTTCTTCTTTTGAATCAGTAGCCCACTAATTTTCAGGCACGAAAGGCAACTTAGAAAATACCCTGTAAGCAGTTTTCTGGGGAGCTCTTAAGGTGGATATATATGTTTAACATGGGACCTGTAGCTTGGATTCATTCCAAGTAGTTTCAGCTCACCAGTAGCTTCAGGTGCTATCAGCAGAGGGCTTCCACCTTGATCACATACAGGGAGAAATGTAATTTTTTTAATATACCTATGGCCTGATCCTCTCTTAGTGACACTGATACAAACACAACCAGTTCCTCCCTAAAGGAGAGTCCAGAGTTTGCTTCAGGAAGGTTATTTTTCACTCTCATACCCTTACTGAGGGGATGGCAAGAATGGGTTACCCTGACTTAGGACCTGGGTTGCATTGTATGGGATGCTGAAGCCATTTCTCTTCAGTTATTTTCCAAACCACAAGCCCTGCTGACAGATGGGATGTTTCTCTGCACTGCTACCAGCAGCTGCAGTCCTTGGCAGGAGACAGGTCGTGCAGGGATGTGCCACAGCCAGTGGCCACATGTCCTTTAGGTGTACAGAAGATCCTTGGGGTTTGCAGAACAGAAGTGATACCTTTCCTATTTTTAGCAGACAGGGAAAGGAGTCAGACCTGGAGTCTCTCAAGACACAACCTGGTTTCATGGGCAGTAACTCTGCCCCCAAGGCAAAGCCTGTGCTCTCCTATTTAATAGCTCATCAAGCTTGTCTTCTTAGTGATGGCAGCCTGGTCACCTGCAGCTTACAGACCTTGCTAGAGGGCAGGCACATCTTTCTATTCCATGTTTCTAGAGTGCTGTGTGCTGGGCAGAGCTCCTGAGGCACTGTTTGGATATCAGCCATAAAACCCATGTCCTGGGAAGTCTGCAGTTCACCTTCTGCCTCATTTGAGCAGCCCAACAGGGAAACCATTTTCAGGTGACATGTGCAGGAACTGGCAATCTAATTTTGCTGTGTTAAAGATTTGATCAAAACCCATGGAACAGCATTTTGCCTGTCATGTCTCCTGTGTGGTACAGCCAAGGTGCAGCCTGGAGTGAGCCCTGTGTTCATGATGATTGCAATAATGCAGGTTTTTCTCCTGAAGAACACAGTCTCTTGCAACCAGGAGGAAAAGCCTCATGGCTGTTATTTCTTAATTTTTCATCCTCTGCAGGGATGAAAGGGGACGTGGCTGTGTACACACAGGCAGCACAAACCAGCCCCCAGGGTCACAGCACTGCCCTCCAACAGCAGCCTTGGTACCAACACCATGAGCTGGGTCCCACCTCCTGCCCCATGGCAGTTGTGCAGTCCTGGGGAGTACTGCCACACTTATTTCACACCCATGAAACCAAGGTGTCTGTGTGCTGTTCTCTTACCACACAAGTCCTACTGTGAATATCATGGCCTAGGTAGCAGTGGGACTTAGGTTGTCTTTTGCTTGCTCTGTTGTTTTGACCACATGATGTTCTGCAACCTAATATTCCCTGTGGGAAGCTGTTGTGTAAACTGAGACTGTTTCCGGGTATATAATAATGTCTTTGATAAATGCTCCACGTTGCATGCTCAATTCATGAATTATAGTTTTTGCTGCTGATCAGGGAAGGGGTATTTCCTTTCTTTACTTGTCTGGAGGCAGAGATGGTGGAGTTACAAAAAAACACTTGCTTTCCGTCCTACTGTGCATATCATGGCCTAGGTAGCAGTGGGACTTAGGTTGTCTTTTGCTTGCTCTGTTGTTTTGACCACATGATGTTCTGCAACCTAATATTCCCTGTGGGAAGCTGTTGTGTAAACTGAGACTGTTTCCGGGTATATAATAATGTCTTTGATAAATGCTCCACGTTGCATGCTCAATTCATGAATTATAGTTTTTGCTGCTAATCAGGGAAGGGGTATTTCCTTTCTTGTCTGGAGGCAGAGATGGTGAAGTTAGAAAAAACATTTGCTTTCCTTTTAGTTGCTGCTGCAATAGTAATTCTTTCCCATGCTAATTCCCAGGGCTCAAAACTTCCAGTCACTGTAAGGAAAAAAAAGGCAGAATCAACCAGAGCAGGCAGCTGGAATATTTGTGGAACTGAGACCATTTTGGCTGGCAAATCTATGGGTAGGAAAGGATGGTCTTGCTGGATTGCAGACTGGATAGTCTGGATTAAGTTCTGTCTTCATACAAATACTCGGATTGATTTGGTTCATGTGTCATGATTTTAGTTTCTTTAAGCCCTGGTTACTAGAGGTCTTTTCTTTCCTTGTAATGAAAAATGAGTTGGAGTTTGGTAGTGCCATGCTTGGGCTAGATAGGTTTGTTCTGGTTGGTTAACATGGAATGAAGCCCTTTAGTCACGTTCGTTTCCCAGAGGGCAGGCAAGAAAAAAAATAGGTGCCTGGGAGAAGTGGGGTAACAGAGTGATCTTTTGCTATGCCTGCCCCTCCCTGACGGGCCATGGGGTTGGGGAGGGCTCCAGGCTGAGCCAGGGCTGGTGTACAGAAGGGCAGTGGTTGGTGGCAGTCACATCTGGAGGCCAGCCTGCAAGCTATGATTGCTGAGCCTGTTCTCCATCTGTCATTCACCACCTCGTGTGTGTTAAGCCTGTAAAGTCACAGGCAAAGAAAAAGACTTTGCCTTTTTTTGTTCTGTTTCCTACATTTTGCTTGATTTGAAGAGCTGTTGGATTGGCTTCTGTTCAAGTAACGAGTTAGGTCAGTTCCTCAGGCTGTCCTGTGCTGACCTGAGGTTACCAAATGCTGTTCAGACTCTCCCCACAGGCCATGTTTGCCCACTGGACTTAAAATCTGAACTGTGTTCTCTTTTGTATCTCCACCCCTTCACTTTGTAGCTAACCTGCTCATTTGTGTGACCATAACTAAAGTTCTGCAGCTGCAGGGTGCTTAGCTGAGGGGCAGCAGGCAGGAATGTGCCTCTCCCCTCTCCTACTACTCCCTGTGCTCCAGTTGTCAGAGGTGCTTGAGTGCTTAGGGATGCAGACAGCCTTGCAGGAGCAGCCCACACCCACTCCTTGAGCACTAGCTTTTTATTGCTGTTTAACTAATTCCCATCCAAATCAAGAGGAATAAGGTACAGTGTTATTCAAAAGGTGAGGTCTGCATTCTTATGGAAGCCAATGGCAGGCAGTCAACTCACTGCTTCTGAAAATCTTGCTAAGAATCTTAAGAAACATAGCTGATCCCAAGTCCTCTTCCCCAGGGAATTATACACAGAAGATCTTGCTTCCCAAATTAATGCTCAAATTTAAACTTTCCTGATCCTAGTCCTACCACAGGGGTGTCTACACAGCAGTGGCTCTACAGGAGCCATCTGCTCTGGCTCTGCTCACCAGCAGCAGCAGTGCTGTGAGTAATAGTTGCTGTAACATCTCAGCTAAATAAATCACTTTGTCCTCTAATCCCATGCACAGGGACAGCATCTGCTCTTCCTTTGCTTATGAGACAGGACTTTGTGTGCCAGTACACTTCCCCCAAGTGACCTTCTCGGCAGCTCTGGGAGATGCTTCACTTGCCCAGGTGACTCACAGCTGCTGAGCCCCCTTTGTACAGAGATGGAAACTGCACGGAGCAGCTTTACCTACCCATGGAACACCCAGGTCCCACATTCATCCGCCTTGGTGATGTAATTTTCAGGCAATAGCCCAGAACAGCCAGTTGCAAGGGAAATGCCATAAATCCAGCCCTCACTTGTACTGGTTTGTTCCACTGGGGACATGAAAATAAAATCCCCTGGGACCAGCTCCAGTTCATCGTCGTTCTGGGGAGTGTAAGGATAGATCACTTGCAGAGTCTAGGGGAGAAACAGAAGCACAAATGAATGAAAGGCTTGTTAATGGAAGGGAACCTTTGGCAGAGGGGGGCAGGAGCACTCCCATGACAGACCTTTAACCCTAGTGAGGTGTGAATAGCTCTCCTTGTAACGCATGGCTTGGGGTTTTATCCAGGAAAGCTTCACTTTCAGGGAATTCCTGCCACTTCCCACTCTGCTGTTGGAAAGCTTTTCTGGGGATTCACTCCTCCCTCCCTCTTCGATTCCAGTCATGCTTTGGATAATCAGGAGGGAAAGGTGGGGATGGTTTTTTAGAGCAGGCAAAACCACGACCCTGTGCTTAAATCCAAGTGTGCTGTTAAAAATGGAACCGAATTCTTATTGGGACAGGGAATTCACACAGCTCTAGGGGTTAGTGACTGCTTGACCCTAAAGAACATTCTCCTTGTTGCTGTTGCTTTTGAAGACCAGGCAGAGGCACTGTCAGGGGGCTGACAGGTTTGACTTTGACATGCTGCTCTCAAAACCATCCATGAGAATGCACAGGAAAAATACAGGTGATGAGAAATGTTGGGATGTGGCCACATTGTTTTCTTTGTATTTCCTAACATGAACCAGATGAAGTTAAAAGGTGGGGGAAAGATCAGTGAGTGTAATACTGTAATCTTTTCTTCACTGAAGCCTGAGGAATCCACAGATATTAAGTGTCTGTCAGTAACTTTCCTTGGCAATGGCTACAGCAGCACCCCATTTAAAAGGGGAACAAATGTGTTATTGTCCCTGGTCACTGGAACCTGGTTAGGTCCCTGGCCTAACTTCTGCAGTGGCATCACACAAAATAAAACCATAATCTGCTGAGCAGCTCTGATCTCCTGATGGTGTCAGCCTGTTTGCTCACTCATCCTCCTAGACAATCTGTGGTATCTTCAAAGGAAGATGGAAACTAGCCACAGTCACCTGCTCCCACAAGGCCAAAACCTTCACACATGGCTGCCTGAAGTTAGATATGCAAAGGTGTGAGCTGCTTTTCAGCAGCAGCTTCCTCTTCACTGAGTGACACTGTGGACTACTTTCAGCTTCTAAAGGACAAGATGATCATTGGGATAGGAAAGGAGGCTCAGAAACGTGACCTGGATGGGTCAGAGCACCATGTATGAGAGACGTCAGCTCTCCAGAAGCTCTGGCATCTGTTTAATCTGTCATGTATCATGTGCTGGACTAAAATAACTTTCTGCCACTCCACCACAGGTTTTCTGTGATTCTGGATGAGGCACTTTGGTGGGGTTAATGATGCCAACCTTCGGAGCCTAGTTAGCTGCCTAAGCCTGAGCAGGCACCTTCTGGGGGCTCCCTCCTCCAGGACAAGGGGCAATGGACACAAGCTGGGGCACAGGAAGTTCCACCTCAACGTGAGGAAGAACTTCTTCACTGTAAGGGTTCCAGAGTACTGAAACAGGCTCCCCAGGGGGGTTGTGGAGTCGCCTTCCTTGCAGACTTTTCAGACCCATCTGGCTGTGTTCCTGTGTGACCTGCCCTGGATTAGATGGTCCTGCTCTGGCAGGGGGGTTGGACTCGATCTCCAGAGGCCCCTTTCTGCCCCTAACCTTCTGTGATTGTGTGAGGTGAGACGCATCTCAAGCACAGTTTCTCTGTGCCAAAGATTCCAATCTACAAAATGGAACTATTATATTATTTTTCTGTATGTTATGTTGGAAAATAACCTTAAGAAAATGATGTTAAGACACTTAGACAGTGAAGTTATAGAGTCCATATGAGTAATCGAAGCATACAGGTCATGAGGGTAAATATTTCTGCTCTGGCAGGGGGGTTGGACTCGATCTCCAGAGGCCCCTTTCTGCCCCTAACCTTCTGTGATTGTGTGAGGTGAGACGCATCTCAAGCACAGTTTCTCTGTGCCAAAGATTCCAATCTACAAAATGGAACTAATATATTATTTTTCTGTATGTTATGTTGAAAAATAACCTTATTAAGAAAATGATGTTAAGACACTTAGACAGTGAAGTTATAGAGTCCATATGAGTAATCGAAGCATACAGGTATGAGGGTAAATGTTTCTTAGATGATGAAACTAAATGCTGTGATTAATAATAATGCCAAGTCTGTACAGAAGGAATGGATAGCAGTCAGGTTAAGCTACTGGCCTGGTTCTTGAGAGATCAGACCAGCTTATGTGGAGCTAACAGGAGTGTCATTGTTGGAATTCATTAATCCAGCAGGACATTGTTCCTGCAAGAAGCAAGAAATGAGGTGGGTGAAACAGCAAGTCTAAGACAGTATGAGTAAAAAGCAAAAAAAGCCAGATGGTCTGTTGGTTGAGGTGGGGTGGAGTGTGGCAGACCTATGTCCTGGGTGTCCTTGGGAGACCTGGGCAAATTCCTTTGTACAGCCTGTGCTGCATACCCACAGAGCTCTCAGCAGGGGACAGGAGCTTGTGAGCACTCTTGAGCTGCAAATGCACCTACAGCAGCCTGCAACACTGCCAGGTCCTTTTTTTTGGTGTGCGTGTTCTAATTTTGGGCCTGAAGCAAGCTCCAAAGCTGTTACCTCGTGATTGACGAAGCGGATGTCCCGGGAGAATATTGCAGCCACCCAGTCACAGCCCAGCTTCACGTCGATGTTCTGGGCCAGCTTCTCCAGCGTGGGCAGGTGGCTGCTCTGGAAGTGATAGGCCAGCGTCACGTGGAGCTGCTTCTTGTGGGGCTCCACGTGAACATCTGCAAGCAGAAGACAGCAGTGAACAGGCAGCTGTTGAGATCGGCAGCTTTTCAAAGGTCTGGGGGTGTCTGTCACCCCCCAAGAGGAGCTGGGGGCTGAACTTTTCAAAACAGCTCCAGTGGAACAAATGGAGTTCCCTATATATGTTGCACCTTGATTCAAATTATTAGAGATTTGTGGTCTGATTCAGTTCTGAGTCACTCCAGGGTGGCAAAGGCCAAACTGCCCAAACTCATTTGCATTCAGAAAACAATGGGTATCCACACTTCTCCAGGAAAGGGGTGGCCTTGCTTGCCTTAGGAAATGAGAATCTCTCGAAATTAAGCAAGTTAAAAACAGTAATCTTTACTCTCCCTCTTTTGTTCTCTCTCCTGTGGTAGCACTTGCAAATCTGTGTGATTTAAAGGTTCCTGCAAGTTGATTAAATCTTTTCTCTGGACATTAGCTGATTACCAGTTTGCCCTCTGAGGGTGAGGTATTCCACAGTTGTGGAAACACAGTGTGATAATGATTCAAAATGATTCTGCAGAAAAAGAAAGTGCATTAGGAAAAAATTCCAGGAAGCAGGAAGGTGAATATATATGAAATACTGTGACTTTTCCAGTAAATGTGGAAATCACAGGATAAACCATTTCCATGTAATTTATTCTTGCTTATTTAATCAAGTATTACAATTAAACTTGACTGATTGCTCAGTTAAAATTGCAGCTACTCACAGACTTGGCTCCAAGTGCCAGCCAGGGGTAGCTCTACAAGCTCATCCATCTTTTTTTTTTTTGATAAGCAAGAAAAAATATGTTCTGTATCTCTGAAAAAGCCCCAGAGACTCTAATGTGATAACCCGACCAAGCTGTGGACTGCAATGCAGCAACTGGCTTCCCTGAAGGAAGAACTAGTTTGGTGTGAACTGGAGCAGATGCAGGAGCAGAAGGTTGCTGGGAACCACTGATGCTTCCTTCTTATGAGCCACTGTTTTTGAAGGAAGATCTGCCCCTTCTGACTGTGGTGGCTTGGAGGGTACATCTACCCTGTGCAGGGGAACACTGGTACCATGCTCACGAGGCTGCAGCAGTCCTTGGACCTGCCTAAAGTCTCTGTGCCTGTTGCTGCCTTCCACGATGTGCCTGGGTAAAGGTAACAGCTGTTTCCTCCCCCTCAAAGGGAAGAAGAGTTGTAGGTCACCATCAGAGGAAAGCATTGCATTTCAGGGCTGTGACAAACCTATGTCTCTCTCTCTTCCTTTCAACCAAGAGCAGACACTTGCAGCTCTTTCATGCTGTTATGGGATGCCTCTCTAGCACAGATGCCACCCAGTGACTCAAGTTGCTGTGTGTTGATGCACTTAAACTCCAGAATAAGCCTCTGATATGAAGGACTAAACTAGTTGTGCTGTGATGAGTCCAGGCTGAGCTTTACCCTGACAGACAGTGGGAGGATTACTCAGGGAGCTACTATAGTGCTCCAGTGCTGTTCTGACTTCCAGGTTTGTCAGTGATTGGAGGACACCCAGAGAGCCTATTCAGCAGAGGAGACCATCAGAGAACAGGGTGCTCTGGTTATCTCCCCTCCCCAGCCCCTCACAGGTTCCCCCCTCCAGAAGCAGTGCAGGACCAGGCAATGGAGCCAGACCTGTCAGCACTGAGATTTGAAAAGATTCCCTTCTAAGTCACCAGGGCACTTGGGGTCTTCTCACGGTGCCCTGTCTGTATCTCAGAAATGCAGTGAAAACCCAAGAAGGGTTCACAAGGCTGAGGAAAGTTTTGTGGCAGTGGCTTGAAGTAGTGAGTGGAGCAGGAAATGCTCAGCCTTGCAGAGACAGCGTCTATCTGAAAGGTTAAGGAACCACCAAATGTCAACTTCCCTTTCAGGAGATAACACTTGAGACGAAGTGTGAGGTGATTTTTCAACCAAACAAGCACTGAAACCCAAAGCACCCGGTGGGGTGTTCCTCCTTCCTGCTAGCCTTCAGACCACTCTTAAAAACCAGATATTGGCTTCATGAGCCTTGTTTCTTTGTGCCATCAAAACTTTGGTTTTTGAAGATGCCCAAGCTTTGATGAAGCCGCAAGTTCTTTGTAGCTGCCAGCACAGGCACTCACCTGCTTTAGAAGCAGCCTCTGCAGCAAAGTCTGCAGCAAACTTCTTGAGCACCTCAGCACTTTCTTCCTTGACAAAAAGCCCAATGAAGTTGGAGGACGTGTAGAGCTCCAGAGGCAGAGGGGCAGGGAATTTGCATTTCCACCGCATCACGGTGGCCTGCAGAGCTTCAGTGAGAGCATCGACCTTGCTGTCCTCACACTGCCAGGGGAAAGAGGACAAGTGTGTCTCAGGTGGGGAATCATTCCTCTGTGCCCGTGCTTAGCTCTCCAGTGCACCTGGTAGAGCAAGTAAAGGCTTGGGTGGGTGTGCATGAATCATCTACTATTGCTATGATGCAGTGAGGGGAAAAAAAGCACAGGGTAGGGTCATAGAAAATATGTTTAGAGTTCACATGCCCCTCCCTTGTCCTCAGAGCATGGTCAGCTATCCCCAAGTAACCCTCCTGACCTCCCGTGCACCACGCCGTCTGTTCTCCTCTCAACGATCATTTGACGTGATGAGAATTTGGCCTTCTGCTGCTGTCCTGAAAACAACCCACTTGAAACCCAGCTAGGTCCCCAACAAGCCCAGGCATCAGGCTGCTCTGGTAACAACCCCCCCAGCTCCTGAGCACAAACCCTGAATGAAGCATGGAACATCTCCAGCTTCAGCCTGGCAAGGGCTGAGCACGAATGCACGCGTGAAGGCAACGGAGAGAGGAGCTCTGCTTTACCATGAAGAACTGACAAAGGGTGATGTGTGGGAAAATGTTGTGAGCCTTGTTCTTCCCACAGATCTGCTTTGACTGCTGCCAGAACTCGGAGAGCTTCTGAGCCAGGGGGCCGGTTGGGCGCAGGTAGAGGACGTACTCCCGGGGCAGGGTGTCGTCGAGGAATGGGTCACCCACATGGGAGAAGAGCCTGACAGGGAGAAACAATGGTTAGGTTGACAGATATATCTATATTTTTTTTCAGCAACATCATTTTCCACAGTGGTCAAACCCTTTCATTCTCCCTTTATGGAAAAAATGAGCTCTGGCAGGTCAGGCAGAGAGGTGTGCTGCCTCACAGCCCATTACCACTATGCAGTAATACAGAAAACTGGGGTTCAGTTTCAAACTGAGGCTCTGAAGATTAGTCCTGTCACTGCTTCTGCCTTTCTGACTTTCAGTGTACAAAGCCCAGGGAGGATAGCACTCCGAAATTGTCCAACATCTTTGAAAAGGCAGCTCTCAGTTTTCTGTTTAGGTGCTGGGGTGGGGAGAGTCGTGGTTCCTTCCTCTCACACCTTATCCTGCTATTACTCCAGATAACAAAACTTCCTCAGGCAAGGCTCACTGCTGGATGGCTGATTTACAGCCTTTAGATAATATCTTCCTGATTTTGCTGGTGCTTTTCAGATAATGCCTTCGTTTAAACATTCCACATTCTAAGGGCTAAAATCTTAACCATGGAATTCACTGATTTGACTCTTTGTAACATTTATTACTTCATACCAACCAGTCGCATGCTGCTTGAACACTTCTTCCACCCGTGGATGCCAGTGCTTTTTGCCTGAAGAGAGAGCAAAATAAGGAGTATTTTGGTGATGCTGGATTACATGGCTGCAGTCACATCTATTGCATGAAGCTGGGTCCTTGCTGGGGAAGGGCTGCAACGGTGTGTTGGGAAACCTGCAGGATATGCTTTCAAGGCTGGTTCCCTCAGCCCTGGGGCTTGCTTTAGGACCTGCTGCCTGTCAAATCGGCATGCAGAGTCTGAGGGGTGAAGTCATGCAGTCTGCTCAAAGTAGACAGATGCACCTCTGGGTTTTCCCTGCTTCGCCTGGTGTTTTTCTGGGTAGTGAAGCAACGGCTGTTGGTATTTAATGGCATTTTTTCTGGTCATTTTCTCAGCATGAAAATGACAAGGTTTGGGTCTGAAATAGCACTGAGGACAAGAAAAATTCAACTGCCACCAGGGGGCACAAACCAGAGTCTTTTTTTCAGGTTACAACAACCTGCCAAAATATGCTAGTTCTCCTCAGTCCTTGTTACATCCGAAGTGCTGTTTTACTTATTTCCCTTCAGGAAGCCTTTAAATCCCTTTTCACTCCAGCTAGGAAGGCCCAAGTGTTCTCTACAGCAAGTTTTCCAGTTGCAGGACAAGCCAGAACAGTGCTGTTTAACTTGTAGACATAGAATAGTGTTTTCCAAATGCTTGGCATCAGCACTGAAATGCAGCTGTGGATCAGCTTTGAAACACTAGAGACTGCCAAAATGAGGTATTCACCCAGAATCCAAATGGCATAAATATTTAGCCAAAATCATGAATGGAGGCAGAAGAGGATAGAAATGGTCACAGGGCAGAAGTCAAACTCTCAGTTAGGTGTCAGGAGGCAAATAACCCACGAGTAGGTGATTTCAGGGCTTCCTACTGGAGGGAAGAAGGGCAGTGTTGCTCTCAAAGAAGTTCTACAGGTTTAGTAGTAAGGACACCAAAATGAATGGGGTGCTGGTTCAATCTCATCAACCCTCACACACTTCTGCAAAGGGGTGTGGGTGGAGGAAGGTAGGAAGAGCAAGAAGCCTCCACAGAAGGTGAGAGTGAGGTCTCCAGGCAGCTGTTCCCTGAAGCCAGGGAAGGGGAAGGGATCCTGCAGATGCTCAGCACCAGAAAACAATCTACATCCTACTGCACTGGTAGAGAGAGGTGTTCTTCCCAGTGCTCATCACCAGGGAATGTGCTCAGCACCAGCACAGCTCCCACCCGAGGTGAAGCCCTGCTGGTTGCCATTTGGCGTGTGAAGCACGAGCAGGGCTGCAGCCCACAGGCTGCCAAAGGTACCAGCCAGTCGTATTTGTATTCTTGTGGTGTTAATCTGAATGAAGCAGCTGTCTCCCTTTTGCTCTTTTGGTTGTGTGCTGTGTCTCAGAGCTGCTTGCTGTTAGCAACCAAAAAATCTGAGGGCAGGGAAACTTCTAGTTGACACCAGCCAGCCTTGAGCTGCAACCTCATCTGACTAAATATGGAAAGTCACAGCCTGGTAATAGTGCAAAGGACTTGCTGAGGACTTTAAGCTAGAGGGAATGTGTCCAACCAAAGGGACAAGATCCATGTACTATGCAGCCTGTGTTAGCTGCTGGGGAAGATGCTGCTGCTTGGTTACAGGAAGCAGGTCCAAGTGAAGGAAAATGATCGTGACTCCAAGGTCCAGCCCCTGGCTCTAGGATTAGGGCAGCTGCAGCTCTCCAGCATTTCTTGTTTCTGCCCATAGTGGAGCGTAGGACACTTCTGTTGCCCTTTCTGTCTGCAGTGATGCCTTTAGGAAGCACTGACAACCATGTGGGAATGTCCCACCAGCTCCTAGACATGTGTTGTTGACTCAGCTGTGTTTCAGCTCTGCCTTTGGCTTTCCCACCCCTTGAATACGCATATTTTTGTTCATTTTGAGAGTAAGAGGAAGGCAGAAAGATAATGCTGCAAAAAAAAGGCTGTGTTGCAAATGTGTGACTATGAAAATACTTCCTCCTGAAGCATTTTGCAGCCCTTATCTGCCAGCATTTGTTTGAAATCACCAGAGTGCTGCTTCAAGCACCTGCCCCCTGGAAGGATGTATTTCTCGTGCAGTCAACATCATAGCTTGGTCTCTTCTATCTTGCTGATTTTTCCCTACTCTGGCTCAGATGCACTATGCAAAAGAGCTGCTGCTTTGCTTTGAAAAGTAGTTCAGACAAGAGCAAAGAGCTCTTGTCTCTCCCCGTGCACAGGCTGGGAACCTTTCAGGGAGGCTGCTCCTTGAGCAGAGCCATGTCCAGCTGCCTGGCCGTGGATCTTCCCTACCCTTGTTTCATCACCCACTTCTGTTATGTTGCCTTTGCTCAGTTCACCTCCCTCTTGCCTGCATTGCTCATGCTCTTTCAAACATGACTGAAACAGGACTCTGCTAACCATACATCTTGCTACTGAAGTGTGTCAGCTTGTGCTGCATCCGAGGCAGTGAATTAAAAACATCCTCTGGCTTGGGGATGAGCAGTTTCTCCTCTTGCACAGTGCGGGCAGACAAGCTGGCTCTGGCTCCTCCTTTACTCCCTGCAGCCCCCAGAGCAGATCTCTGAAGGAGCCATGCACAATCCAGCAGGACAGATGGTTCTGCCACCCACCCTTGTTGACTTGTTCGCTTAATGAATTGATGTTTCCTTGGAAGAAATAGCACAATAGAGCTCTGCTGGAATTGACTGCAGCTCCTTCTCTGCTGCCTTTGTGCTCCCAGGACCCCAAAGGGTGTTAGAAAATATTAAGCTGGGCCCCACACACGTTTGCTCGTGAGTGATTTCAAAAGGTGCCTCTTTCTTCCACAGGGACAATAAACTCCCTTTTCAATTTAATTTCCTCCTTGTACTGCAAATACTGCATAAAGCAAACAAAAGCCAAGGTATATTTTCATCATGGGACCTGAAACTGAGAGTCTCCTTGTAGTTTTTTTTTTTAATTTAGTTCTGGGAATAGTGCTGATGACTGATAGCCTCTGGTTAGTCACAGAGCAGGGCATGCACTGCAGCCCCCCCAAATACCTCTGCAGCCACAAGCCTGAACCTTGGGAGGTCACATCCTCTGGGTGCTCTGGCTCCCAGGCCCTGTCAAGATTAACTTTTAAGAAGTTGAGTACTCAAAACTAGTCACAGCTATGTTTGGCCACTTAGAGAAGTGGCCTGATTTTCACAACTGCTGAGTGCAGTGGGAGCTGAAACACAATATTCTGCTCCTGAGAAAATCAGGTCACTTAATTAGGTGACTAGCGATGGCTTAGGTGCTCAGTTTTACTCATGCTGAGTAGCAAATGTTTGCTGTAGTATAGTATTGTTAAGAAGTAGTAAGAAAATAGGAAAATAACTTACTTTTCAGGGTCTACCAAACTGGTATTGCACAGTAACCCGTTTCTGGTCAAGCAAAAACTGCAGGTGGATTCAGATAGGACATGAAAAACTTTGTGCAACTTTACTAGTCCCTCAAGCCACCCAGTTCCTCTTAAATTCTGCTGCCTCTGAGATGAAGCACAAGAAAACCATTGACCAATGCACAGCAATGTGTAATAGCAATTTTGAACAGACAGCAGGGGAGATGCTATGTCCATCTGCAGGTCTGGAGATGGAGAATTTAGGGAAAGGAAAAGAACATCCTAACAGCAGTGTCTTCCCAAAGCACTGCAGTTATTTTAGCCACCCCAAAGAATCAGATGGTTTTGATTCTTCAACCTCAGAGCCCTCCCTGTGACAATCTTCAATGTCAAGTCACAAGGAAAATCTTCCTCCACTCAATCACTTGTTAAACAGTGTCAAAACACTGCTAGGAAGCTTCCAGCTTAAGAGTTGACCCTTTAGCCTGAAACGTTATGGCTGGACCAGTGTTGCTGCCCTGGCATACATATTCATGTGTAAATGGTGCCCATTTTCACCTCAGCCCACTTAATGGGAGAGCACATGGCTCTGCATGCTACAGAACTTAACTCGTTACTGTTAAAGGATTTCTGGCTTCCTGCAATTTCAGGGTAGAAGAAAAAGGCAACAGGGGAATGTCAAATCAGCTAGGAAATATATATCAATAAACATAAAGTATAATGGCTAAATCCCATTTACTTCAGAGGAAATGACTGTAATGGGGAATGATGAATTAACCACCAAGAGAACCTACTACAGAAGCACCTCACAGAAATCCTTCCTCTGTAAGTGCTCAGCCTTCTTACTCCAGTCAGAGCAGGGGGTGTGTGCCTGTCAGAAGAGCCGTGGTGCACAGGGCAGTGAACTGCCATGAGGAGAAGTTAACACCAACAGCACAAGAGCTAGGGCTGGGGTGAGCTGTTTTGAGATGGTTCATCTGCACCCATGTTATATCTTATCAGTAAGAAGGTGTGCACACTTGGAGGTGTTGATGCCCACGGCAGAGATGCTGTGCTGGGCAGGGAAGGTGAGTGTGTGTGTGTGTGTGCATGGTGGCTGTGCAGGGTCCCCAGCCTCCATCACAGCCAGGGTGGAGATGTTCAAGCCCTTGGAGCTGGCCCTTCAGAGCCCACTGCAGGCAGCCTTCTCTTCTCCTCACACACTCAAATGCACCAAGGCTGAGTCACGCTGCTGGTTTGAGCCCCCAGGTCCAGAGAGCCTGTTTGTTCTCCAGAAGCAATGTCTAATTCATAGAAAGTTGGCCCCTCTGGCTGCTGCTTATGACTCAATTTCCCCACGTCCATGGCTCTCCCTTTGCTATAATAAGCAGACATTCCAACCCTGCCATGGGCAGAGCTGGCCTCTCTATTTGTAAGAAGGAGCTTGCTGTGTGTTCCTGCTCACAGAGGCAGCAGAAAATGACAGCAGCAGCCTCTACCTCTGATCCACCTACGAGCTGTCTGCCTACAGAGGCACCGAGGGATTTGTGAATGAGCAATGGAAGGATGGAGGCAGCCTTTAAAAGAGAGGGAATGACTAAATCTTCCCTTTCATTATGTGCCTCGAGCCTAGACAAACTTCTTATCTGTGAACAAAACCCCTTGGAGGGATGAATTCATCATTTCAAGTAGTCCTGAATCTTTGGCCCATAAAATATTTAGCAGTGTAAATAAAG